GCCGGCGGCATCCAGCGCAGCCGTCCCTTCCCAGGGTGGCCGACCCGCTGCCTGTGGAAACCCGCAGCAGGAAGCAGGCACACCAGCACCCTTCCACCCATGTTCCCCAGCGCAACAGCCCCTGCACAGGCACAGGCTCCGATGCAGGAGGGGGATATTGTGGCCTGGAGCCACAGGTGCCCTTCTCCGGCACGGAGAGGCCCCATCCACGTTCGGGGCCATCGCAGCGGTGGCCGCCCAGGGAACGCCACGCTTCGGCTCTGGGCCACGGGAGAGGCTTTGGCACAGCCCGTGCCGAGCGCAGGTTCTGCTCCGGGAAGGGGACAGGGGCACCATCTCGCCCTTGGCCTCTGGCCACAGGACTGCGAGGGAGAGGAAGCGGCCGGCGTCCGCCACAGGGGCCTGCGGCGTCCCATGGCTCACACTTCCCCGGCTGGCGGTCCTCGCTGCGGTGGCGAGGATTCCCTCGGGGCCGCCGAGACACGTCAAGCAAAGCGATCGCGATTAACCCAGAAAGCCGGGCATCCCGCCTGCTGCAATTGAGAGGAAGCTGTGCTTGCTGCCATTAGAAGCCTCGCGTGAGGGGATGAGGAGGGCGGCCACGGCGCTCTCTCCCTGCAGCCCGACTGCTCGCGTCAGGCCAGGCAGAGCCAGCCGGAGGAAGGCTCTCTGGATTGCACGGCCTTCCGGCTGCCTTCAGCCCGGGCCAGGAAACACCACCGTGGGGCGGCTGCCTTGCGGCCGGCCAGTCAGGCTGCCTTCCAGGTGTGCCGACAGCTCAGAGGCCTGCCCCCCCACCTCCCTCCCTCCACCGCAATGGGGCAACAGAAGGGCCCAGGAGTCAAGCAGCCTTCCCGACCTGACCTCCCCAAAGAAGTTGGACTCCGGCTCCCATCATTTCCAACAGCATGGGACACGGGAGTTATACGAAGCGTGGCCCCTTGCACAGCAGCTTGGGGGTAGCCCCACGGATGCGATGATGTGGGGTGTCCCGCCAGCACCCCAGAAGACCCCAGCTTCCCAAGAACCTTGCGCACGTCACTTGGCCAGTCCTCTAACTCTAGATGCCCCAAAAAATGCGCCCCCAGCCACTGGCTGCCGCCACTTAGGGGCTCTCCACAGCCTCAGTCGGGCACCAACATACAGATCGAGAAGGGACGATCTGCACGGAAATTAAAGCCCGACCTTTTTCATGGCAAAGTTGGCTGGAATTGGATACAGAATTGGGCCTCTCCCTAGGAACACGGAGCCCTTTCCCTAGCTGGTCGACCCCCGACGTATACTGCATGGGCGGGAATTGCACTCCAACCGAATTGCCCTCCTGGAGCGTGCGGCTCATTCAAGACTGAGCAGAGAAGATATTCCTTTAATCACTGTATACCTCCAGGGCTCACTGCCCCAAGATGCCAGGGTGAGCCAGCCCTTGAGATGCTTCCGAAAAGGATCGGGCCCATTCTGCGTGGATGCTTTGACCGGCCACCCTGCGCTACGCAACCTCAGCAGAGCGGCTCGGTTTGCAGGCAGTCTCGCTCCGAGAACCAGGCAGCCGGTCAAATGCTCGCCACCACCTTCCGGAACTGACAGCCAGCTCACCAGGGACCTCTGGCCGACAGCTGTTAGAGCCGGACCCCCGGAGCGGCACGGACTCCGGGCCCGCCCCACCCTGCCCGCCCACGTGCCTTCTCAAGCCGTCGTAAAAGAGCTGCACTGACCCAGGAGGAGAGCGTCGTGCCTCCTCCCAAGGCGCCCGTTTGGGTTTTCTGCTCGCTAACCGTGCTAATAAAACACCGCCGTAGCGCCTCGGTCTGGCCCGGCCTCGCAGCGAAGCGTGGCCAGGGGCTGAGAGGTGGAGAGAAGAGTGCGGGCTGGCTGCAGGCTTGCACGCTTGCAGGAAATTGCCGAGCAATTTAATTGGCTTTTCTAATTGCCTCTTCCAGCCCGCCTGCCGGGAGATAATGTACAAGGAAACCGGCTTCGGCTTCAGTGGCGGCGGCGGCAGCTCCACCCGGAGACTTGCAGGCAGAGGCGAGAGATGCTGGCCAGGATGCACCATGCACTTACCGCTGGCACGAACGAAGCCCCTCGTCTCTCCTTTGCACTCGCACCCTGGCTTCCCACAAGAGCGGTCCCTGTAGAATCGCCCGTGGGCCATGCCAGTGCTGCCGGCGCCCAGGTCTGGCATCCATGGGCACACGCATGGGTCCCTGAAGGGCCCTCTCCAGTGGCCTGGCTGGGGATTATTTTTCCAGGTCTCTGGTTTTTAAATAGGCCAGGGTGACACTGGGGAGGGGGATTTGTAGCTGTCAGGAACGATGGGGGCAGCGGGGGAGAGAAGCGCATGACGCATGCCGTTCCCAAGTGCCAGGTCCGTGTTCCAGGTGCGAGAGCGGAGCTCACTGCTGGCCGAAGCGTCAGCGAGTCAGACTGCAGGCCACGTGCAGCCCCGAAGCAGCTTCCTGGCATGCGTCCAGACCTCACTCGACCAGCAGCAGGGCTGACGAAGGATCGTGGACGCCACAGGGAGTGCGGCAGGCGTGTCTCTTCCACGGAGGAGGGCCATCATGTCCAGCCTGCGTCTCGAGCTCTGGAGCCCTCCAGGGTGCTGCTGGCATCCCGCAACTGGCCCGTCCGGGAGCTACAGGTCAACGCATCTGGAGGGCGTCAGGTTGGCCAAGGCAGCAGTTGAGAAGTCTGTCCAGCAACCGGGACGGGAGGGAGCAGCGGTCCTCCTCTCTCGCACACAGACTGGCTCTCACTGCTTTTTGGTCCTTTGGTGGATTGCGAACTCATTCCTTTTCCCAAGGGCTCTATTCCCACCCGTGGGGCGTGTGCAGTGGAGGGGGGGTGGTGGTACAGGGAAAGGGAGGGCAGAAGCTTTCCTGGTCCCCAGAAGCATCTCTGCAGCTGCTCCTGCTGCCTCTTCCGGCCACAAAACCCCCACCAGCATCGTCCAGTTCAAAGCCACTTAACTATTCTTATTCAAGTCATCTAGCCCGTGTTCAGAAAGCATCTACGAAAGTAGGAGAGACCATTCCCTGCCCCAAGGAGCTTGCAATCACAATCAACACCTGTGGCCTGGAGAAAGCGCTGCAGAGGGGTAACCCGGCCCCTCTGCTGCCACAGAAACACCTTTAGCGCAAAGGAAACCGTGGTGGAGCAAGGCCGGCGTGCCTGAGACACACGGCCCGCGCCCGCCCGCGCCCACCCCTCCTTGCGTCCCCACAAAGCCGCCAGCCCCATCCCAGGCTCTCTACCTCTTGAAAAATGCCAGGAGACCTGCTGTGCGGTTGACAGGCGTTGAAATGTCCTTCCCATCTTCTGAATAAATGGAAGTGTCAGTTCCAGGTTACAGAGGCCGCATCAGACCGGCGGATGGAGGGGGGGCCGGGAGGGGGAGAGAAAGATCAAAATCACCATGGCAACTGACGGACTCCACATCTGCCATTGGTACTCATGAATGTTGGATGAGGGAATCAACATGGGGGGATGCTTGTTTCAAACTGCTGAGCTTGGAGGGAGAACAAACAGCTGCATCAGGCACAAAAGCCACATGAAGGGACTCGCTAGATCGCATGTATATATTTCCCTCTCTCTCTGTTCCTACCTGCTTCTGCTAGTATTCAGGGCAAGGTTCCTTGCCTCTTGCTTGTTTTGGTTGGCCTTTTCTCTTCTTTTCTGCCTCCACAATAACCTTTTTAAGATGAAAAATCCAACAAACGACAGTGTCCTAGATCTAGACCTTCCCGCCTTATTTGAAAAAGCAAGCTGCTCGTCCTCATGGCCGAGCTTAGAGAAGTATCGTAAAAGTGAAGGCTCTTAAGTAAAATAAACCCTAAAGCTATTACAGTATTGGTCCAGCTCCCAGCTTCATTCCATGCAATTTCTAATAGTGATGCCAGAAATTTAGAAAAAATGGATTTGTCTTTCCAGGCAATGCCCAAGCGACTTGGCAAGCCATTTCAGCACTCCAAACAAATGGCAGAAGCAACCAGTGTCTTGTGGCCTAGTTCTTGTCACAAATCAGGAGGAAAAAAGGAGGCCCGAGCCTCTAAAACTGCACGGACAATGTGATTACCACCGTTTTCTTGCTGCTGCATCTAACCAAGGAACGAGAGATAAATCTGTCTCCTTTGGTACACCCCATTAAAAAGAAGTTTGCCAAGTTTCCAATGCAATTGCTAGAGGAAAGATTGGTTTCTTGTGCCAAATGGGCCTTTTCTCATTTCTGGGAAATAATAAAACCAGTGAGAGCAGCAAGCACGATGTAAACGCATACAAAATACAAATCGTCGAAGTAAGCCATATTCTGAGTTTGGGATCTACCCCTATTCACATGCTTTGGCCAATTTCTTCTGTTGTTGCAGTGGTGGGAAATTCTACACAGCCTCCCTAGTACACTCGTTCCTCCTGACGCACAGAAGTTATGCAGCTCTGGCTTAGCGACTCCCATCTGCTGGATAACCAGAAGCAAATAAATGTTTGCATTATTTAAATTTTAAAAATCCACCCCAACCCACATACCATAAATAATGACCAGAAGCCAGAAAGATGCCCACCTCTTAAGTTTCTTTGGCCAAAGCGCCACAGAAGGAAAGGGAGATTCACATAAGCCAAGTACCAGTTATTGCCTTATTTCAAGGGGGGTCCCCCTCAAATTTCTAGTCCTCGTGACTGGAAAGCTGGTTCGGCAACAGGCTGGAAGGTCCCGTTCTTTACCCATCATGTCATTGTTATACACAACTTCCCTCAAGTCCAACTACATCCCCCATTCCTCTGTCCCCAGTCCAAATATACCAAACTCTGCAAAGCCGATTTGCGAGAGAAGATTGCTTAAGAATTCATGCAAATGCACCAGTGTTGCATAATTTACAGCAACTGCAGTATCTCTGTACCAGTTTGGCATTTCGCAAAGAATTCTAACCCGCATACACACTCACACCAGTTCCACTCTGTTACATTCCAGCTGTCTCAGCTTTATGAAAGCATTCAGGAAACGGGCATTAAGAAAATGGGTTTTTTATTCCTTTTTTAAGTTCAGATGTTTTACAAATAATGCTTTTACTCTGATAATAAGCCTTGGAGCAATTAAAAAAACAACAACACACAGCATAGCCAGCAATGCAGCCAGACTCAACACCCATAAATACAGGCGGGAAAAGACAATCACGAATTTTTCTATACATGATCTATTGTTTGCCCTTTGAATGTCACATGTTGACACTGGCAAAAATGGCCTACAGAATGTGAGGGTAAAAAAAGGCAGCAGATGAGTTGCTTTGAAACACCGTGGGCAGTCCGACGAAGCCCTTCTGCGGTGTGCGAGCCCTCCGGCTTTGCTAGGCATTTACTGGCACGGGGGGGCTCCGACTCCGGCTCTTGCTAAATGTGGGGGGGAGCACACTGGGGGCACAGACATTATTCACGTAAAAAGCAATGACATTTTATACGTATTCCTTTTAAAGGAAAAGGTTGAGTTTCTTTTTTCTCAATAAAATATTACATTTCATTTAATACTCTGGTACAATTCTTCATACGTTGCTAGGAAAGGGAAGAATGGAGCGGAGAGGCAGCTATTTCAACCTAGATGAATATAACAAAGATCTTCTCTCATTGACCCATTATAGCATTATTGTTTTAAAGTCTCAAGAGTGTTCATAAATAAAAGAAAAACAGGCTTGAAATTACATGGAAATAAGAATTAAAATTCAGAGAAAGAACGAAAGAAACAAGACAAAATGATATCAACCATCCCCATCTGAACATCTGGGGCTGGGAAGCATTTCAAATTGCTCGTTGCATGCATCAAGTTCCTAGTCATCAAGTTTTCCAGCCCTAATAGCAATAAGTTCTTTCATATTTTCTCCCCAGAAAATACCTTTTAACAGAAGCTATTGCTTATCACTAGAAGATAATCAATGGTCATTTTTTAAACACACGACTTGGGGGAGGAGAGATAAGATTTGGTCGAAATTAATCGGAGGCTTAAAGAAAGAAAATCAGTTTTAAAAAACAAAGTTTTTATTGAACATTCAATATGCAGCGGCACAGTGGTAGGTGTCATGCCCCCTTGGTCTGGGTTTCCCAAATACCTGCTGACTCCTTTCTTCTCAACGGCTGTTGAGATGCTCGCTCTCTAAAGCTTACGTGTGTGCGCAAAAGCAAGCCATCGCTTGCCTTCAGAGGAGCCCTGCTTCTGCGACTCCCTGTGTGAGTCACTGCTATGGGAGCCCCTGGACTCATGCAGAGATGTGACGGGCAGCCTCGTCCTAGAGCTGGCAGTTCTGCTGCCGCACGGACCGGAGACTGTGGACACGGAGGGCATCGGCCCCCGGGGGGTGGGCTAGCTGCTCCCCCACAGTTCCCACAGGACCTGGGAATCGCCGCCTGGTAGGGACTCGTGATATTTCAGCCCTACACAGTCAAGATCAGGAAAACTGGCCATGGAGAGGAAGCGCTCTCCCAAAAACGGAAGGAAGGGGCTCTGTGAATGCACACTCTCAGCAGGGAAACGTGATTTTCTGGTAATGGAGAACATAGCCAACCAATTCTGCATTTCAGATCCTGCAACTTTCCATTGGAGCAGAAAAGCTGACAAGAAAAAGAAATCCCAAAGCTAAAACACTTCTATAAAAACACGGTTCCAGAATAGAAGGCTACCTTCCCAATGCGGTTCTGGCATGGAAAAAGGAGGCAAAGGATCCCTTTCAGCCAATGGCTATACTGGATGGGGATTATGGGAGTTGTAGTCCAGGAGGCCACCAGGGGGTGGGGGAGCAGGTTTCACTCCAGCCTGCTTTTTCAACTCTGGGGTGGGGGACGGGTCACCTGAACCTGGTAAATAAATGCAGGATTCATTCTGTTCCCTTGCCTTTCCCATTTTAAGTTCACGATTCCATCTTACGAAGAGAAAACTCATTCAAAACTTTAAGACACTAAATGGAACACAGAACTACCACGGTTGATTCTCAGCACAGGCAGGGGCGCATGGGGCTGGGGACATCGCATGCTGCAACGCTTCGTTGCAGCACGGCTTATGCAGAAAGCACTCCCTCTGGGATTCTGCATGTTAAGGAGACCGCTTTTTAAACAACGACAACGACGCATCACCACATACATTTCCTTTTGGTTTTCAGCAAGGCCCAATGCTCTTATTCAAGTTCTTTTCCTCGCACAATCTTCAAGACGGTTCTTCAAGTTTGAGAAACAGACATTCACGTGCCCTTCAAACATTCCACACATTCCCAAAACCATTGTTCCTACAGAAAAGGGGGCCACTTGAAACAAACATTTGAAAGGACTGCACCACAAGGCCGATCTGGGCTGTACCATCCAGACACGGGCTGGGGGCCATGTGTGGAGGATCCCATTTTGGAGATTCCTCACGGAGCTTGCAGAAAACAAGCAAGGCAAGGAGAAGAGGCTTTGCCAGTTCCGCGCGGGGCAAACATTTCCCCCTGCCCCAAACCACAACCCAGCAAAGGCCGTGGGCGCTCCTTTTTGCGTTGGCGCCTTTTCGCTCCAGCTCCAGCAGCAACAACTGGGTTGTGGAGAGGCGGCCGGGGGCAGGGGGAGAAGCGAGTGCCCCATCCCTGCATCCTGGACAGCCACGAACTGAAACTCAGACCGGCCAGTTTGCTGGGGACAGGGCCGCATCCCCTTTCCCTGTATTCAGTCCTGCTCACAGCGGAGTTCCATGCCTCTAATACGCTTGTTTTTGGTAGAGGCTGGTTTGTTTTAAAAAATGCACCAGGTTCATCAACTCGAGGGGGCAGGTGTGGGGCGCCCTTCAGCCTGAGCACTCCTTCTGTGGGTGACCCAACGGGAGGGGCCACCAGAAGAGGGAGACCCAACCCGGCAACCACCCCTGTGCTCTCCCTAGCTCAGGACGGCTTTCTTCCGAAAAAGGCATCGCAGGACGAGACGCGGGCATTCCAGAGCAGCCGTCCCCGATGGCCAGGGGCCGCAGGGGTTGCCGGCCAGAACACCTGGGTGGCGAGAGGCCGCTCTGGGGACTCGCTGGGACTCGCACGCCGAAGGTCCTGGCACGACCAGTAAAAGAGAACAGCGTTTCTGCGCCTCCCCCGGGGGCACCCTCTCCAAACTGGGGCTGAAGTGCCCAGGTGAGGACCCCGGGCTTCACACTTGTCTCTTCCCAGCAGCCCCCCAGAAAGGCACCACATGGGACTTTACAAACGCAGGTCGCCAGCGCAACGCCAGCAAATCCGAGGACACGTGGGGGGCGCCCTCCCCCAGAACTGAGCCACCTGCCGCCGAGCACAGCGTCCTCGGTGCGGCCGCAGTCTTGCCCGCACGGCTCCTGCCAGAAGCAGCAAGCGCTCCAGTGGGGCAGTGCCCTCGGCCTGGGGTCTGTCCCTCCCGTGGCTGGGGGAGAGCATTTCTGGCGGCCACCGTGTACTCGCAGGAGTGTTTTCCAGGGCAGGCTGCGCTCCAGGAACCGCACTGCAGGGCAAGGCCACTGCAGCAAAGGGGCTGCGGGCGGAGGAAGCCGGTGGTCGCACTTCCGCCAGCCGTGGGGCAGAGGGTCTCTCCGAGCGCTCCCGCTACCTCCCTGCGGGCAAACGGACAGCACGGCCAGCCTTCACTCCGCTGGGCAGGGCAAACCGATGGGGCTCGCCCAGAGCTTTCCCACCCCACCCCCCGTTCCATCGGCACTCGTTCGGCCGGGCCCGGCCTCTTGGCCGCTGCCACCGCTGAGCCGGACAGGGGACCCCCTGCGGTGCTGGGGATGAGGGAGGGCAGCCGCGAGGGCAAGCGGGAAAAGCCGGTGTGGGGCACGCAGCCCGCGGGCAGGCCGCTTCGAGGCGAGGCGAAAGACATCGGGCAAAGTGCGGGACGGGCGTTCCCGAGTCTGGAAGCAAGGTGCACGATGAAAAAGGCTACCCAGCTGGAGCAGCAGGGGGCTCGGGACACCCTCGTCCGCTTGGCTCTGGGACCCGCGGCAAGCAGGGCTGCCCGTGCGATGCCATTTGGAGCGATGCGGGGTAGGGCCAGAACTCAGTTTCCCGAGAAACCGACTCTCCGAAAATAACCCAAAAGGGACAAGCTTTGAGATCACAAGGCTGTGAAACGGCTTGAAAGCAGGCAGGGAGGGATGGATGGATACGATCTCTGGCATCAGCCCCTTCGCCCTTCCAAGGATGCGCGGAGCCAGAAATAACCACGGAAGGGAGCAAAACTGCAGAAACAGCCATTCAAAGAAAGAGAGACTGCGCCAGTTCGCACGACTCAGAGCCCCGAACGCACCTTCTCCGCATGCAGAGCTTTCATTTCTGTCATTCAGGCGTGATATGCAAGCAGCCCGGCCCGCGAAGGCCAAATGTCGCGGCACCACCTGAGCATTAGGTTTCCGACTCTCCCAGGAGAGACCTCACTAACCCAGCCCGACAGCTCCCCCACCAAGCTTCCCCCGGACAGGCTCTCTCGCCCGCACGGGCTCAGAGGACGCGGCAGCCCTTCAGAACCCGTCCTCACCACCACCCACCATGGGCAGGAAGGCGGCAGGAACCCGTTGCGACATGGCTCACGTGCAGCTGGCAAGCCAAGGCAGGTCTGCACGCTCCTGCAGGCCCGGAAGCACGGCCAACGCTTCCCACCCAGAGACGGGGTCTGGCCAGAGCAGTTTAGCGCCGCCTTTCGCAGTGGGAGCAGCTCAGGGAGGGAGGGAAGACAAGCAACCCGGCGAGGATGACATCGAGTCTGCCGGTGGACGGGGGACAAGGCACTTGGAGGAAGAAGGCAGAGCATTACAGAATGTCACAGCTAACGGAACGCGCGGACAAGAAGAGCTTGTGACGCCTCGGAATGCTCCTGCCATGCAATGCGGCCACAAAACCCAACCGCCCACCCGTTTTTAAGGAGGCTGGTCAGAGGGTGGAGGGTGAGGCCCGCCAGAAGAGCATGCCGCACCCGATTTTCCCATTTAAATGGAGGGCAGGCTTCACCTCCACAGCAGCCAGCTGGACGCCCGAGCGGATGCTCACAAGAAGGCCATGAACAGAGAAGACGCTCTGTAGACCACGAGGGCAAACAGGCAGAGAGAGCTGGGCGAGGGCCCGAGACGCCACCGACACGAGTGTCCAAGCCACGCCACCGCCGAGTCCACGGAACTCCCCCTCCTCCCCATCACCTGCACATACCTTCGGACAACAGCACCCAGCAGCTGCCCAAGGGAACAAACCAGCTGAACCTGGAGAAAAAAGTATCACGGGAAGTTGTAGAAAAGCATCTTCGTTTCCAGAACAAACACGGAACACAAGAAGGATGGGATGGTTGATCAAGTGGGCTGATCAACAGGCCCTGGGGACCAAGCTCCTGACGAGCTTAGCTGATTTCTTCGCTTTCTGACCTGACCTCGCTTTTGTCTTAAAGGGCAAGCAGTGTTTTTGTTTCAAATTGATCCAGCTTAAAAACTTCTAAAATCCAGAGGAGAGTGGATTTTCAAGTACAACAGAGTATTGGTCTGTGCTGGTGGCAAAAGAACCTTCTGTGTTCAAGCATGGAAACAAAACTAAAATCAAATCAGCCATGATAGAAATCAGAGACTTTGAAGGAAAGGCGTGAAGGGTTTCTGTGAAAGATGGTCTTTAAAGTTCTGCTTATTACTGAAGGGTTAAAACACCATAAATAGAAAGAGGCTCGATGCAGCTGTCAAAGTCCACTCATCGTGGGGCGCGTCTCAGGTCGCTTCCGCTTCACTCTCTTATTTTTTTAAAAATGGTATTTCGGTTCTGCAAAGGGACAGAAAGAAAGAGACCTTTCAGAAATACGCCTGCGTTTATTTGTGTGCTGCAACCTCCACGTAAAACAGAAAGGGTTACAACACAGCGTGGAACGAATTCAGCATGTTGAACCGGGCAGCTTTCGTTCAAGTGTCTGGTGCTTTTAATGCAGAATTCCCTGAGCCTGCAACTTCCAGCAGCCCCAGCAGGTATGGCCAGCAAACAAGGTCTATGGGGTCTGTGGTCCAAACTGGCTGGAGGTTGTGGGTTGCTTACCCCTGTGCTAGAGCAGCCCAGACTCTGCAGTTCCGAGGATTTTCACTGAAGGAATCTGCCCTGTCCTGAGGAGATCCATAGTGCACCTCACCAAGGACTAGACGCTTGCCTTCTGGCTATCAGCTGGAGGCCCCTCCCTGCTATCAAGACCCTTTTGTCAGAGGCACTGAGAAATGACCCCGAGCCTCCAATATGAACCGGAGCACTTTGCTGACCTAGATCCTCATCTCATTAAGCCCCAGTCCTCTGTGAAGTCCACGCCACTCAGCGGCCGTACTTGCCTCCTCTCAAGGCATCTCATCTGAAGCTCTTCTGCTGCTGCATCGGACCAACGTTTTCATAGACTCTCATGGCATTCTCTTCTCTCATCCTGCAGGGCAAGCAAAGGGCTTTCAGGTCAATCGAAAAGCGAAACTTGAGTATCTTAAAGGAGGGTCCAGTTGGTCAAGAGCCACTCCAATTCTACATTCGTGCTTTAAGCTGAACGTTAAAACCGTTGGCTTTATCGATCGCTTATTGCCAGCAGCAGAATTGCTCCCACAGAGCCTGCTCAGCACCTCTAAAGGTGAGAAAAAACAGAGAGAAGCTCGGTCAAGGAAAAGGCGGCAGCAACAATCGCCCTCCTGACATGCTGACGAGGTAGGCAAAGGTTCCTGCAGTCCAGAGTCTCAAAGCAGAGGTAGAGAGAGAAGTGCTTCCCCTTCTGCATGGCAAAAAGGGACCTTGCTGCGTGAAGCCTGCTGGTCAAGGGACCTGCCTCCAGCAGTCCGGGGACCAGACCTGCTCTGCACCCCACCCACCGGGCGAAGTGTGGGGCCCCCCCGTGACCGAGTCGCCGGATGGCAACAAAGCCCGGCACAACCTGCCGGGGAGAAAAAACGGACTGCAAAGCCGTGCATTGCACAGAACGGCGAAACCTGAGCCAGAATCTTGCCCTTAACCCTGACAAGCAGGGGGAAATCCATCCAGACGCAGCGCTGAGAGGCAGCACCCGGCCTCCCTCTGGTCGGCCCTCCCGGCCCCTGGACCCGCCCAACAGCGAGGTGTTGAGAACGCTCAGGCGGCCGCCCTCCCCTGGAAGGCGCTTGCCTGGACGCTGCATCTCCACGGCCCAAATGCTTCCCCTCCACACCCGGAAGGAGGCAAAGAGCCTTCCCTTGACAAATTAGAGATCGCCTGCAGACTGCAAAACGGGGTTCCAGCTCCCCCCGCTCCCCCTCCCTGCCCCCAAGCTGGGCAGGCCACAAGAGGCCGGACTCCGCACAGCTCTGCGAGCCACAAATCCCGGAGGAGGAGGGGAGTGGGGGCCGGGCAAGGGGGCTGCTCCGCTTACTCGGGACAGGTCGGAGTCGGAGTGCACGGCGGGAGAGGGCTCTGGTCTCCACCGGCCTGGTCCGCTAAAGAGTATTTGATATTGGTGTACTCGTGGCCTTTCCTCTTACTTTTCTGAAAGAGATCAGGCGGCAGGAGGTGAGGAAGGGGCCTGGGGGACTCCAGAGGCGGCCCGGGGCTCGGCCGACCCCCGCGGCACCGGAGTACCTGCTCCTCCTCGATCCTGCGCTGCAGCGTCTCGATGTAGTGCTGCACAGCCATGTACGTAAACCGGTACTGCGCCTCCGTCTGCACCATCCCTGACCGCTGGGACCGCACCATCTGGATGGTCTTCGGGACGTCGATGTCACAGTCCACGCCTGGTTGGGGAGGGGGAACTTGGCAAGGGTGCAGGGCCGAGCCCCGCAGGCAGGGTGGCGCTCAGTCCGGAGGCAACCCCAGCCAAGGCCCGCCGTGGGGAGCGGCGGCCTGCCCCGGGCAGGCGCTGGGGAGTCAGCCGAGCCGGGCAGGGCGGGGGCAACCGCAGCCTCACCGGGCGAGACCAGGGATCCAGATGGTCCCGGCGGCGGCCCAGGCCGTCCGCACCACTGCCCCCACCGGCCAGCTGGCTGCTCGGAGAAGGAGCCACCTGGATCCAAGTGGCGGGGTGGGGCAGGACACGCTTGCAGCGTCTGCCTCCCCGCTGCAGTCCCATCCCGCTCTTCACAGACGGGGACGGTCAAACCTCTGCGGCAGCGAACCAGCTCGTCACGCAGCCCTTGAGGCCAAACATGCTGCCCACACCACCCAAGTGCCGTTTCAAGCCGTTTTGCGCTCCCTCCCGCCCGGCTGCTGGCAAAGTGACAGGCAGAGCTGCAGAGAGCTCGCTGCGCGCATCTGGCTCCTCTGCTCCCGAAGTGGCCGTTCCGCCCAGTCTCTCAACAATGATCTAACATGCAAGACCTGCTGAGAGGTCCTCTTTCCTCTTCCCTCCTCTTCGCTCTTCCCTTTTGTAACATGCCTATTAGACATTGTGTGATTGTTTTGTAATTGCAAACTACCTTGCGCCTCAAGCGTGCTGGCAGAAGGGAGGCAGGGGAATGCAGCGAATAATAAAAAACCACGATTTGGCTATCTACTCAGGACCCAGAAGCAACCAAAAGGGCGCCTGCCAGCACCGAGGGAGAGCCGTGGGGACTTGCCTTTCTCTCGGATGATGTCGATGAGAATATCGATCACGATGAAAGTCCCAGTCCGACCGATTCCGGCACTGACAGAGGAGGAGAGAAATGACATGCACTTTACCTTCCTGCTTCTCGGGACACAGGGAGAAGCCGGCACTTGCCGGTAAGCCACGGCCAAGCGTGTCGTTACCTGCAGTGGACCACAACCGGGCCAGCGTCGGAGATGCCCTCCTGCTTGTGGTGAACCTCTTCCAGGAAATCCAGAACCCCGCCGGGGTCGCTGGGCACGCCGTGGTCAGGCCAGGTCCGGAAGTGGTACTGCCAAACTGTTCGCTCCGTGTTGCCCTGCGGAAGCGACCGGCAACAAGGGGCGTGTGGATGCGCGGCCGGGCACGCCTCGAAGCAGCACTGGGGGAGAGCCGGAGTGACCCAAGTGGGAGGGGAGGGGAGGGGAGACTGCCCAGCGGGACGTGCCCCCTTCCCGCAGCCTCCCTGGCTGCGCCAGGTGATGGCCAGGGGAGGGAGGGGGGACGGCGCGGTTGCTGGCGTTACGGGAAGCAGGAGGACCGGGGCGACCACGGCAGCCTCCTCCTGAGGACCAGCCGCTGCCCTGTTCTGCCGACGGATCGGGCACTGTGAAGGACAGCACTCGATGTACAGACCTGCCCGACCTTCGAAAGCTTCAGCTCTCGCAGCGTGTAATCGTGAGCCGCGCTTTCCCGGACGTTCCGGACACGCATCACGCCGTACTCCTTCAGGGCGTGCTCGTCCGGCCAGTACTTCACGCACTTGCTCTGGAAGACAAGAAAGGGGGCAGCGGGTGCCTGGGGGCCGTGGCTCCATAGTTCTGCTCTACCCCGAGGGAGAAGGAGGCCCTTCCTGGAGCATCAGAACAGACATTTCACAATTCCACTGCCAGGCAGGCTACTTTGTAAATAGTGGCTATGCAGGACGATCCGAAATAAAAACAACAAACCAGGACATTCGCTTCTAACAGCATTCTGGCGACATGAGCCATTTAAGAGGTGAATGCAATAGAAACGTGTACAATAAAAGGAGCGTCTTAAGCCCAGACTCCCTCCAAGAAAGACAGCGGTCCATGCCCACATTCACAACAACCCTGTAAGGTAGGCTAGACTGATACACACAGCGATGGGCCCAGAGTTTGCTAGTCCTCTTGGAGGCTCTGAACCCCGGTTTCCCCAGACCACACTCTAGCCGCAGCATTAGGGTAGCCTTCCTCAGCCTGGGACCCTCCAGACGTCTTGCCCTGCAAGCCATACTGCCTGGGGATGATGGGAGCTGTAGCTCAAAACATCGGGAGAGCCCGGGAAGCAGTGCTGCGTTAGAGGTAGGGAACTTGTGGCCTTCCAGCGCCAAAAGGCACACGCATATGAACGGCGGCAAGACGGTGCTGCGCCGAGTGGGGACAGCAGCCAAGTCCCGCCTGGAGCGCTTCCTGGCGAGGCGGAAAGTGTTGGTGGCGGAAAGCAGATGGTCTGAAGCAAAACCGGCATGGCACAGATAACTCGCTACATGGGACCAGACCCCAAGCTGCTTGTGGGCTCGCTGCAGAAATCCGCGGTCTCTCCGGCAGTGGCGGTGGGGAAGAGGCCGAAGAACAGAAGAGTTTGCTGAGCCAACAAAGCCCGGCCTGGCCAGTGGCCAGAACTCTCGGAAGCCCAGATCCATTGCTTCCTTCCGTAGAAAACGGGACCCCCCCACCCCCGCTCGGCTCCACTCCCAGTATTTATAGAGGCAGGGCCATTCGCAGCTTCCATTCAGGACCTCGTAACAAGAGAGCAGCTGCGGGAGAAAAGTGCGGAGGCAGAGCAGCAAGCAGCAACCGAGAAGGCGGCGGGAGAGGCGAGCTGGGGATGAACGCGGGAGCAGCCGGCAGCGGAATGAAGTTCGGGGGCGGGTGGGGCGACGGGGCGGCAGGAAATCCACTCGCACAATCTGGGCTCCCGCCTGTCCTTCTGATGCCGCAAGCACCAGCGCCCTCCCTTTCGGAGGCTTCTCGGGATCGCAGTCCAGTCAGCCACCGGGCAAGGTGCCCTGAGGTCACGGAGCAGGGGAGGGTCTCGGGCTGCCCCTGGCTGAGCTGCTTCAGGGCGGGGGGAAGGACGGGGGAAGGTCCAGGCGAGGAGCACCGGCTCAGGTTGGGAGCGCGGGAACCGGGCCGGGGTCGTTTGGGGCCGGGGACGCAGGCGCAACCAGCGGCAACAGCTCCGCCACCAGCAGTGGGCCCCGGATGCTGCGGAAAGGGCAGGGGGGGAGCTGGGCAGAAGAGGCGAGCGTGGACTCAAGGACCACCCACCCCCTTTCGAGCAGAGCGGCCCGGCCCTCCGTGGTGCGCGGCCTCAGCGCCTCAGCCCTGGCGCGCGAGCTGCGCCCCAGCGGGGTCCGGCTGCGGCCATGCTGCCCCTCTCCCCGCTCTGTCGTGAGACACGAGGGCATTTTCTCAGTCTGCCACGCCCAGACGCGACCGGCACCCTCGCCCTCTCGGGGCCCACCGTCCCCGCATACCTTTCCCCGCTCGACCTCTTTCGTGGTCATGACGATCACGCGGGAGTTCTCCTGGAACACCATCCGCCAGAAGTCGTTCACGGTGTTCTGCAGGCAGCCTTGAGTGGCAATGTAGCTCTTCTTGGGCTTGGCGTTGTTGCACTTGGTCTCAAACTCCGGCTGCCGATTGAGAGGGATGCCGCCCGGCAGGCCGTCTTAGGAGGGGGGCTGGGAGCGGCAAAGCCCCTCCCACAGCCAAGGGGGCCCGCACCCCAGACACTTCTGCAGCGGGGGGAGGCCTGGGGCATCAGGGGAGACCCCCCCCGACTGCTCAGGGTATGGGCAGGGGCAGGCTAGAGGGGCCACCCAACCTCAGGAAGCTGCGGCTGGCACAGTGGGGCTGGTGACCTGTGGGTCGTCCTCGCATGCAAGTTCTGTGCCCTAGTTTTAATTAAGAGCTGTTAACTAAACCACCCAGGGAGGGAAGGTGGGATTTACCATTGAGCTGCAAGCCCTGGATTGTGCTGGGTGAAACCAGAATGCAGGGTTTGCATGTAGCCACCCGTGACTCAGCAGCAACCCGTCCCGACCCCACACTCCGGGGTGTGGTTACGTGAGAGCCCAGGCAGGATTAGTCCTTGTGGAAATTTCATTCGTTGGTGGGCAGCTCGGTCTTGAATGTGTGATTCCGCCCTGCAAGCTTTGCATGACAGCTGGTCCCACCCAATGAAGTCTCCTGACCCTGGTTCACTGATACGGAGCGGGACGGCTGCTTCCATCGCTTTGGGGGTAGGATAAGGAGCACCCAAACCTCAAATTTACCAGCAGGCCCCTGCTCCCAGCCCAGCACAAGACAATGCATTTTCTACTGGCTGGAGAAGTCAGCATAAGCCAGAAGAGCTCTTACCATGATAATATTGGCATTTATATAATCAGAAACAGGCTCATTTGGGTCTCCGTCGTGGAGGACAACTCTGGTATGATCAACTGGGAGGAAAAAACACGCCAGGTTAAACACGCACAACCTGACAGGGCTGCACTGGCCCTAGCAAGAGCCGCTCCCCTGGGGCAAGTTGGAACTTCCCCCTGCACATGAGCCAGCCCTGCCCTTTAGGCCACAAAAGGAACGCAGGAGGCCAGCAGGAATAGCGAAACTGGTTCCTTGGTGCAGAAAAGCCGGCTTGCTGTGACCCGTCTCCAAACAAAAGCAGCCACCCGAAGGCCAGGTTTGGACTCAGCCAATTCTCCACAGAGACCTGCAGGGGTCAGTGGGAGGTGAACCCCTGCCTCGGACCGAGAATGTCTCCTTCCGTCGTCCTGTCCCTGCTGACCCCCAGCTTGGCCACACCAAGGTCAAAACATGGAACGTTTGGAAGACAGAGCTGCACTTGTGCTTCCAAAATTCTAAGGACTAGAATCTTGATTGTTAAAAGCACTATGATCTGGAGCAAACGCTCTCTGGAACGTGCTGCCTCTCTGCTGGTGCTACACGCCAATGTTTTGTTTAAAAGGCGACACAGGAACAATACTGGCTGGGAAAGGTGGAGGCAGGTGCGCTCTCACTGCCCACAGTTCTGCAGGGCCCCTTTCCAGGAAATCTCGCATCGGCTGGGGGTGCCCCATCTTCCACTCCCATGGAAGGCATCAATAGCAAACTGGATGATTGTCCTGCCAGCAAAAACCCTGGCTGAGCCTTTCCCGCCTAGGAGGGGATACGGTGGGAACTGTTGTCCAACACAACTGGGGGGCACGGGAAGAACCAAGATGGGGAAGGTTCCACCACAAGCCCGAGGGAATCAGGCAATACTCACAGGGCAAAATATTTTTGTAGCGGTTTTTGTTCTTGTTCTCCTGCCGCTGCCCCTCTTTCCGGCTGTACAGCAATTTGCATTCTTGCTGCTGGAGAGTCTAAAAGGAAAGGCAAACAGGCCAAACAAATTTGGGACAGGCTTTCCCGAGTTCCACCGTCGATTCCCCACACGCTCTCCAGCCACGCCTACCTCGCACTGCGCCACAATCGCAAGAGACCGGGGCGAGCAGCCAAGGTGCCTCCCAGCCCCGCTGGACGGGGTCTGCAAGCAACAGCCAGGTGCCAGAGCCCCAGGCCAGCCCTCCGGTGCCAGCCAGTCCTCCTTGGAGGCTGGTGGGAGCCCCAACCGTGGCAGAGGCATTTGCTGTGCCTTATTTCTGCAAAATAGCTCCAGTTTTGGAAACAAGCAGAGCCCAGGAATAAGGGTATCAGGGTTCCCACCAGTCTTTCTGCAGGACACACTGAAGAATTCCCTGCCTAAGCCCTGCCTGGGATACAAAGGGGACTCACAGGGCCGCCTCCCCCAGCACCAAGCTGGGGTTTGGGGTCAGCCGGGAAGGCTGGGCTCGTGGCGCCCTTGAGGCGCGTGGTCCACGGGGCCACCGCATGGGAGACGGCCGTCTTGGCGGAGGCTCTCCACCTGGGGGGCTCCCTTCGGGCAGGGATGCAGCTGTCCCCACGGTGCGGTCAACACCAACGGAAGGCACTTCGGTAGAAGCTCTGGGGGTAAAGGCACTGGCTGTGAGGCGTCACAAGCATGGGCATTTTTTTATGCCTCTGCAATCGCAGAGCTGTGACTTTAATGCTCCTGTGGCTTTATTTATTTATTTAGAAAGCATACTTGATCATCCCCTGAAGGCTCCCTGGGGGGGATAACCAAGGTATGCGGTTTTTGCTTGGGTTGAGAGCCACCCTGCGCTGCTTCCCAGAAAAGGCCCATGATAAATCGGAATCAAAGGCAAACCAGGGAGGGCGAGGCTGCCGGGCGGCGAGCTGGACGCACTGCGCTGCCGCGAGCCCCGCTGGCTGGGGGGGCTGCCCTGAGCACTGGCCAGCCCAAGGCTCTTCATGCGTGCTTCACCGGCTAGCGGGCCACGTCACCGGCCTCCTCTGCCTTCTCAGCAACATGTGATGAGGCCTCCTCCTCACTGGTCCCCATTAAATCCAGCCGTTCAGCACGTGTCTCGAGCAGGAAGGCTGGCAGAGCGCAAGGGACAGGAACCGAGAGGGACTGCGCAAAGCTGCAGCTCCCCCTAGTGGTCTTCTAACCACTGTACACACACGCACACACACACACACTCTAACATCCAGGCAGCCACCGCAGCCCCCTGTGTGCAGTTAACAGCCAAGCCTAGAAAGGCCAACCCTGATATACGGCTCACATGCTGTCCCAGGGAGATCTGGCTGCAGGCCTCTGTTCCACCCAACAGCAACTCATAACCGCTGCTCAAAATGCACTGCTCAAGTCTCGGAGGCACGCCCACGATCTACAGCCGGTGCACCAGTGAGCCAAGCAACAGGCTGGTGAGTTCAAATCAATTGCCTGGTTTGCATGTAATGACAACCCACGGTTAAATTAACCATGGATGGTTAAGTTGCGCTTTGTTGTGTGTGACACCGGAACTATGGCTGTTTGGGCTGGGAACCACAAACACGACTGCCTCGGGTCAGGCTTCCTGAAGACAGACCGTGGGCACTGTGGGCACGCGCTCAGGCTCCGAGTGGGCCACCAGAGCGCCAGCATTCTGAGCCCAGACCGAAGCTTCCGCTACACAGAGGCCCAGCTCAGTCCCTGCATCGCAGACCTTCCAGGCCCACGATCAGCACAGCCAGCTCCAGGACGGGAACGGCCCTCATCAGTTCCAGAGCGCCACTCGGGGTTTCCTCCAAGGTCAAAAAAGCAAGCCAAGCGAGGAAGCCACAGCGGAGCTTACAGACTCTGCGCCTTCTTCGCCGAGGTTTCGCCGAAACGTCGCCCCACATTACCTCGAATTCTTCCCAAAAGCCCTGCTTCACTTTGTCCGTGGTCTCCGCCAGCTTGCTCAGCTCCCGCACACGGCTCTCGATCTCAGCTGCGTTGATGCGGGTGGTGTTGAGGGGCTGGGGGGCACAGAAGGGAAGCCGGCAGATCGGTCAGCCCAGCCTCCGCGAAGAACTGCTACTTCGCAGGTCCAGCAGCCGGGGGGGGGGCAGATGGTGGGCTTCCTGGGGACCGGCCGGCTGCCCAGCCTTCAAGCCCCGCCTTCTTGCAGGAGGCCCGTCCAGGATTCCCTCATGGCCTTGCTCCACCTCTGCAATCTGTCACCACCCACTTCTGCCCCTATGGAGAGACTGCCTCCCCCGGGGCCCTCCTGGGGGCGCTCAGGTCCAGGGGCTCCCCACTCACCTGCTTCAGCTGGAGGACGGTGCCCAGCGTTTCGACCATGGGGTTCTTCTTGTAATGCTCGACGAGGTCCGTCAATGAGTCAAACTTCTCCCCACCACCAACGTCGTATTTCATCTCCTTCCAGGGAAGGGTATAAAGGTGTTGGCAAACGACACTGGAAGGGGCCCCACTTCAAGCCACCAGGGGCTTGGTTCAGACTGCCTTCTTTCCTCTTCTTAACCAGGGCTCCGGAGGCAGCTGCCGGTTACCAGGGGGCCACGGCGCGCAACGGAGCCCCTGCTTTGCATGGGGAAAGCCTTGCATGTGACCCCCAGAACCCCAGGCAGGGTACACAAGAAGCCAGGCGGAAGCCCTGGGGAGCTATGGCTGCCTGTCAGTGCCGACAAGTATGGACTGGGGGGTCTGGTGATGTCCAGGGCAACTAAGCGCAGGGGCCAGGCATACTTCAAACTAGAGAACAGGGTGCCTCTGAGCACGTGCCCAGAACTGAACAGGAGCTTACCACCACAGTAATGGACTCCTGATTTTCTCCCCACACCCCGCCCCAACCTTTTCTGGTAAGACGAGCTCATCTTAACATTTAGGAAAAGAATCTTAAAGTCATCATTAACCAACGGAAGCCAGAAACCAGGGTCATCGACTAGTAAAACCAGGCCTCCCTTCGGCCTGTCCCTGAGAGACCGGGGGCCAAGCAGATGCCCACATCTGCAGCCACTTACTCCAGGGCAGTCCCCACGCTAACTCTGTAGCCATGACTGTGGTGACGAAGTCTGAATCCGTCACTTTGCTGACTGCGTCTGATTAAATGGGCAAACGACTAGAACCTGCCCAGCCTTGGCGAAAAAGCACGCGAGTTCTGCTTTGCATCTCACAGGGTGCCTTTCTGGAGGTGGATCCCTCCCCTCTCTTCATGCGCGCGCACACAGGGGAGGCAATGCCTGTTCCGAGATGGCATTTGCCGACGGCGGTTTCCAGAAGTACTCATATTACAAATAATCGACACACTTTGGAAGTGTGTCTGCATTGCCAGATTGACCGGGTATAGATTTTTAGTTGACTAAAATGGTTTGCAACCTACTGATTGCAGCAGCTGATTTGTTACAGGTGGCAAGCAGATTCTTCTGTGTTTCTTCAGTCGAGGGAAGGGGCAACCAGCCCTGTGAAAAGGCAACGCCCAAGCCCAAGCCTTCCACCCTTGGGGAAAGCGCGCGCGTGCACACACACACACACACACACACACACACACGAATGCTTCAGACACATTTGTGTTGTTTCAACTAGGGCTCCATGCCTTTACCTGGCACCGGATCATGACGTGCGTCACTTTGGATTTCCCGTCGTTGCTCTCTCCTTTATCATCCCCCGTCCGGACGGAGAGGACAAAGTCTCCAGGATGGCTCTGGCTCTCACGGACTAGAAAGCTCCCATGTTTCCCCTTTTCTGTTAACAGCTTCTCTGCTTCTTTCCCAGAAAGATGACCATGAAACCACCTTCGGGAGGACAAGAGAGCAAGCAGCCCGCTCAGTTATGTACTCGAGGGACTGCTGTCCTGTTCTTTTGTCAAAGGACTCCCACAGGGGCTGACAAGAACCAACTGTCGGATAGCCCCTGGCCCCCTTCACCTGCACTCAGCAAGAGTCAGGCCAGCCAGGGCAAAGCAGGGGTCCAGGAAGCACTGCTAACGTTTCTGATAGCCAAGGCATGTGCTTTTTTAAAAAAAACAGTCAAACCAGAACACACACTTCCCTCTTACAGAGGATTAATGCATATAAAACCACCACTCATCCATCCTCCAGGAGGACTTCCCCCGGCCTGGAGGCAGAGGGAGTATTCACACGATCCATCAGCTGGACTGCAGCACCGCCGCTGAAGGCAGCCAGGGGGTGGCACTGCGGCTTCCAGCCCGGGAGGGGTCCGGTGATGCAAGGGGCCAACAAGGGTCCCCCGGCCCTCGAAAGGTGCCGCCAATGGCTGAATTCCCCAGACTGAGGGCTCGGGGACAGCTGCCTGCCTCCGGATCACTAGCCCCAATCCCAGCCACACCAGCTCTTCCAGGCTAGCGTGGAGAGGGGCGCTGGTGCCCCATGTACCTCGCATGCCGCAAGGAAATCGCCCGTTTGGACCCAGCCACCTCCTCCTGACACCCCGACCTCCTCCTCCTCACCTTTCGGACGTGGGGTCAGCACAGTTGAGGGGGTACTTCAGCTCAATGACATCGCCGTTCTTCTCCTTGAGCTGCCCGTGGTGTTCCATGTAATACTGGACCAACTCCGCCAAGGTGGCAAATTTTTCTCCTCCATACAGATCATAGTAGTCTCCCGTGTTCTGAATCTTGATGTGGGTGACTGCGCCATTCCGTCTAGGCAGGGCGCACAAGCACGGAGCCGAGGGAGAGAAGAGGAGCAAAAAAGCTGCTCGCGGGACTGTATCTGAGCGCACAACACAGCCCCGTACGGAGCCAGACTGTGGCCCCTTCTCGCCCGGGACGCTGCATCCGCGTTCCCCCGCCAGGCACCCCTCAGGCGTTTGGGAATACAACTCCCCCATCCCTGACTACTGGCCGTGTTGACTGGGGCATAAGGAGCTGGGGAAGGCCACTCTGGGAGGGCTGCGAGTCCAGGGTCTTTGGACTCAAAGTTTTCCCTGACCCAGCTGTGCTTCACTCCACCAACCGCATGCTCCCCATTGCTTGAAGGCCAGGAGAGGAAGGATTGCTCAGTTACAAACGGCAAAGGGGCTCCTCTCTTTCCTTACTGTTGCAGATGTTTACTCTGGGTCAGTCCCCAAATTTAAGACAGGTTATCAAGTTCACTAAATTACTCTTGACTGCTGAAGACAGAAAGCAAGGACTCCTCCTGTATGCAGAAAACTCTCGACATACAACCAGCTTACCGAACCGAAAGGGTGAAGTCCCCCGGGTTGCTTTTGCTGGGCCGGGCCAGGAAGCTGCCATCAACTCCTCGTGTTAGGAGCAGGTTCTCTGCCTCCACGCCAGTGATGTTTGGGTGAAACCATCTAGAAAAAGAGGGTAATGTTTTAAAGTCACGCTTTAGGCAGCCAGAGGTAACGACCACAGTCATCCAACTGCTAGCAAGTCTTTTTCACACACACCCTTTTAACAGGTTTTTAAAAGACATCCCTTCTGGACAGCACAAACCTACACTGGTAAAGCTGGAAGTAGCTTCTATAGAACCAGATCATCTCAAGATTATTGCAATCCATGCTGACTGGCTAAGGCACCCTGTGGTTTTGAACAGAAGTCTTTTGGAGTCCTACTCGGACATGTAGGGGACCAGGCCTGGGACTTTCTGCACAGAAAGTGAGGGCCCGGCCACAACGCTGCAGCCCTTCCATGGCTTTGGTCTTACACAGCAAACTGAAAGGAAAAAGGATCGTCCTTCTTGCCATTTACAGCCACTGCCCTGCCTGGTCGCCTGGAGGCAACACCCACTGATCAAGGGTGAGCGGCTGCTCCAAGTACCTTCCCAAGGATACAAAGCTTTTCACGCACGGCAGGAGCCCTGGAAAACCTTTAGATGGGCAGCCACTACATCAGACAGAGCAGGACAAACCCAGAAGGAAGATACAACCTCATGCCTGGTAAATGCACACCAGGCCTCAGAGGAAGACGGTCTGGACGCCAGTCCTGCCTCTCGAAGCTTCAGGCCAGCGATCCCGCTGAAGCATCAGGCGCTTGCAGCCCTCGTCAAGAGCGGACTGTGTCCCAAGGTGACAAGACCTCGCTGTGACGCGGACGCCTTCCCTATATCCTCTTGGTCTCGGCCACCCACAGGCATCCTCTCTTGAGACTAATATAGCACCTTGCCAGCCAAAAGCCTCCACATAGGCTGCACCTTTTGAGTGGTATTTGCCGCCTATGCCACCAGCGTCCTCCGGCTTATTTTTAGAAATTTGGTTAATCAAGCCAACATTTCAGCTCAGGCTGAGCTTCCCATCCTGGAGTGAAAACTCAAGGCCCAGGGAGCTGAAAAGCCCAGGGAGCTGTTCTTGGCAGTTAAAGTGCTCGTGTCGCCCAGCCTTTCCCACCCTGGAGCCTTCCAGATGTGCTGGGATGGAGCCCTGTCATCTCCAGCCAATACTGACACACAGCTTTGTCCAGCCATCACCAACCTGGGGCCTCCTAGATATCCTGGACTACAACTCCCATCATCAATGCCCTGGCACATCTGGAAGGCAGCCGGTCAGGGAAAGCTGACAGGCCGCAATCGAGGAAGATGGCCCATGGCGCCACGGTGCGGGTTCTTGCTCTGACAAGGTTATGATCTAGATACAGACTTCCAGGGGGCAAGAGAAAGAAGAGGACAGAGGCAAAGATCCAGCTCAAAACTCAGGCCGATTGCACAAAGAAACTTTAACCAGGCATCTGCTCTATGGTGCATGACCTCTCCTTGATTATCTTTTGTGAATGAAAGCTGGAGAAGACGAGAAAGAGTTGTCTCTGCAGAAAGGTGCCTGCAAGGAAATTGTTTCAGACTGCTCAAGGATGCTGCCAAGCCACACACCTTTATAGGGTGGAGTGACAGAAAAACTCCCAGGTGATCAGGCTGGGCAGGTAAAGAAGTATCCTCCCTAATTCTAGATATGGCAACTGGTGAGTCTTGAGTGAGTTCAGCACTGCCACAAGGAAATGGACACTGGGTGACCAAACTGAGCAGGCGGACTGGACCTGGCACGTGATACACAGAAGAGAAACAGCACCATTGAGGGCAGGCGCTGGAAGCCCTCTGCTCAAAATGCCACTGAGCTAAGAATTCCCTGGGTGATTTGGGGAAGTCACTAGCTCACATTGTCCTCCCATCTGTATTATGGAAATGATATTAGAGCCTTGCCCAAACATCCTGACTGGGGGATGCTGGGAGTTGCAGTCCCTCAGCATCTGCAGATTATTAAAGACTGTGTTGCCATCTTGCCTTGCAGAGTTAGTTTTGAGCACTGCCAGCATAATGGATGCAAACTGGGGTGCCAAAAGTGCCCGTGATCTTCACTTGGAATGGAACAACGTTAGCTTTGGAGGGGAAATCTCAAACGCAGAGTTCAGGTTCAGGTACGCCACCAAAAGACCCCGAAAAAGACGATGAGTAAAGAGGGGCACTGAGATGACGCACACGTCTGGGAAACATGCAGGTGAGAGGCGCATGATGTGCAACATGCCTTGGAGGTCGGGAAGGCGATTCGTTAAGCCAGCTGTGGGGGAAGGTATATGTGCCGTGCACAAAGGCAGGTCAGCATCTGAGGGCCATGCCAGTTTGGAAAGCAAGAGATGCGACAGGCTGCACTCAAAGCTGATGTGAGCCCTTTTGACAACTTGGAGAATTGTTACATTATGCACCGAGATCATGCTGAGCACTGCGTCCAGGGTGCAATTCTAATTGCTAGTTACAACATTCCGTTAGAAAAAACGCCAAATCCCAGATAAAATCGAGACAGCGCAGCCAACAGCTGCACTGGCATAGAGATTCAGCTCTCTGCTAGACCTGTGGCTTACGATTCAGACCGAAAGCCAAGCCACAGTTGGTTGTGGTTTCTGAACCAAAGCACCGGACAGACTCACGATTTGTAAGTATATGCCAAGGCAGGTTCTGAAGCACGGCGAGAAGGTAGATGGTGATCTGATGGGCATGGCGTGGTCTGTAGCTGCATCACAATCAGCCAGTCAGGGGCCGGCATGTAAGCCCACCTTCCCAGCAGCGATCAACACGTGGAGCACACTCGGGGATTTTTTAGGGAAGGCAGGAAGGAAAAAAGGCATGAAGCGTGGCTTGCCTTACACCTGGAGCACAAGTCCATCTGTGGAGGGCTAAGCCATGGATAGCAAGCCATGGACGGTACTATGATCCAACACAAACCAGGGAACTCCCTTTGTTGGAGGTTCCTGAATGAGAGAATCAGCGATGGGAGCAAAGGGGCCAAGCTGTCCTTCAAGGGCAGCTGGGCCAACATGACCCATCAACCCAGTCGATGTGCCAAAAGGGGAACCGTTACATTTGCATCCGAGAAACTCCGGCAAAAGCGCCATGGCAGACATGCAAAGGGTTGTCAGCAAGTAAGGCGATCTTTTAAAAAAGCCATTGCTGAGGGCAGAGCATCTGAATGCTGCTGCTCTGTGTACGCCCAAGATGGGAACCCACTGGGAAGACGAACCACCTGGGAAAAGGAGGAGGGCATCAGCTGGAAAATCACTTCTCGCCTTTCCTTACCTTCCAAGATCCCTTTTGCTCTGACCTTCTACCACCCACGTCTGCCACCTACCAAAAGGTTTGCCATTTCACAGGTTAAGAAATGCAAGCTATGAACACTCAATCATCACATAATTTTGAGGGGGCTTTTTCAGGGGGGCACTGCAGGATTTGAAGGAACCGCTGAGAAGATATAAAAACCATGACACTCAAAGCATGGAGCAGAAGCCAGAGGAAGAAAACAGCTTCCGGCGGTCACCGATGGCGCTCGCAGCTCTATTTGCAGCTCCAGTTCAAGTGCTATCTAGTGCTTCAGGTATATTTGGCTGTGAGTGGGAAGAAGCATTTGTCAGCAGCCTGAAATAGAAGGATATGGGGGAGTATCCAGCCAGACGTAGGCCAGCAAGTTATGCCAAGTGGTTCCGGAGACACGATTGGAACAAGAATGCTCGGACAACTTCACATGCACATTTAAGGATGCTCTCCCACCCTGCAGCAGAGTCCGAGCAAGGTTAGACAGCTTTATAAACGTGGAGAAAAATGGAGGGGTGAAATAAGATCAAAGACTTAAATGATTTTGCTAGCATCACAAAAAGATATAACGGGCTAAGGACTTCCCCTATGACCTGTGCTTGGATATATCAAGGAAACTATTAATAAAGCAGAACCAGAAATTAGCTATTAATACATTCAGTGCTGCTAGAGTAGAATTAACATTAAGCAGAACGAAATTACTTCAGTAGAAATAGGAAAAAAGACAGGAAAAATAGCTTTCAAGTTTTTCTTTTTGAATGCCTAGATTGGAAATAACAAAGGCAGAATGAACATATCTCCTGGAATTAGTTTACTGAAAAACCTTGAGATGATGTAATCGGAGAAGCAAGCGTTGCATTCATTTTCAAAAAGGGAACAGAGAATTGTTGGCCCTAAAGGACTGGTAATATTAAGCTGCATGGAGGAAATGGAGAAATGCAGCATCACAGAACAGGGCTGGAAATCCTTTTTTCAAAGCCATCCAAATCAGTGGCTATTGCTCTATTTTGTAGACAAACTTGCACTGTCGGAGCAAGTAGAGGGTGTACAACTGCTTATTTTCACCTGTTCTCAATCTCTCTCAATGAAAAGCTCCTCTCAATCAACAAAGGTTTGCTTAGTACAGAGGTGCTACAAGAAATGTAACCTGCTAAATGTGTTCCTCTGGTGTAACCTTGGAAACCACGGGGGCAGCCCTGCCAGGGAGGAAAAGGGGCAGTTCCTTGCTCAGAGTCCGGTTCGGTAGAGAGAGAGATTTGCTTTCCCTGGAACATGGCAGGGTGAGAAGGGGCCAGAACCCCCTTAACATCCATCAAGAGACAGAGATAGCTAAAGTTGAACAGAGGAAACCTGCAGGCCTCCGAATGTTGCTGGGCTACCGCTTGCATTGCTGATTGCTGGCTTGAGAAACTGGAATCCAACAATAACTGGAGGCTGAATTCCACCCAACAGAAAAGAACCCACCACGATGCATCACATCCAGCATCCTTTTGCCCAGTGGCCAGGCCAGGCCAGGCCAGGCCAGGCCGTTTCACAAGAAGGGTGTGGAGACATCAGCCCTTTCCAGTTCTCCTGCCCACAGGCACCTGGTACTCAGAGAAAGCCCTTCAGAAACAATGAGGTTCTGCTTAGCTATCATCCAGTAACAGACTTCTCCTCCTGCTTTAGCACTGGCACCCATCAAATCTGCAACCCCCACTTATCCAGGAATAATTCCTGTTAAAATCAGTGGGACTTCTTTCTGAGTAGATGCGTACAGCATTGAGCTTCTTAAACATTATATTTCGTAATGATTTATATCCAGCTATTTGCCCTTTAAAAGATTCTGCCTCTGAGCTTCCAGGAATGCCTCTCCATGAATTTATCCAATCTCACTGGCCCCAGTGAGTGCCACTGAACCTGGCAGCCAGGGATCCCATAGAGTAGTATGCTGCACGAAGAGATGCTTAAGCAAAGTGGAACAGCCAGTGACATTTAACGAAACAAAATGAGAGAACAGTCAGCAGCTGAAGTCCACTGTCAGTGGCTGCTTTTGGGGGGCACACAGACCAGTGTCAGGTTCTGCAAGCCCAGACTAAGGAAGCAGAAGAGCTTGGATGGGGATAGGAGAGGTGGCTTCCACTGCACAGGAGTAACTGGGAGAAGAGATCAATTGTCTCTGAATCATCTCTGTCTTTTCTCCATCTTCCTCTATAACAGGGGCATGGCCTACAACTCCCACTAGCCCAAGCCAGCACAGACAACAGTGAGGGAAAATGAAACTTCCAGGCCAAAACTTCTGCAGGGCCAGAAGTTGCCCATCCCTGGTTTATAAACACCAAGCTCTGTGTTGCACAAGCACTTGGGACCCAGCATGCCGAGAATCCCTGCTTTCATTTTAACTATTAAAAAGCAGATTTCTAGTCTCCATGGCTGCAAAAATATGCTGAGAACCAGCTGGGCGATTTCAACAGAGCAGGCGGAGAACTGCGACTAATTTTCAAGCATTGCTGACGCCCCACAAAGGGTGGGTAATGTACGGGCCTCCAAATGCCGCTCGGCCACAACTCCCATCAGCCCTGGCCAACACAGCCAATAGTGAAGGATGATGGGAGTTGTAGGCCAAAGCATCCGGAGGGCCTGGGGCCAGAGAAAGAGAAACCCCCTCACGGGGACCTGGCTGAGGGGGGCTTCCCCTCCCCACCAGTCTCCATGGCAACAGCAGGAGGGTGCGGAGGAGCCAGGCACCCCTCCCCCACGGGAAGAGGGGGGCGGGGCCTGGCTCGTCCTCTCCTCACCCCCTTCTCACCTCCTCGAGGTCATCTTCTCGCCGCCGTCTTCCTCACATGGGGCCCCGTCGCCTTGCGGGGAGCCCGGCTCGGGAAGGGGGGAACAGAAGCCAGCCCGGCCCCGGCCGCATTCAGGCCTGGGAGGGAGGGAGAGACCGAGCAACGCGTCGCAGGAGTCGTCTCGTCATCAGCGCGCGACGGTCAGTAACATCAACAGACCCCGCCCACCTCCCCGCGCTCTTCCTCTTCCTACTCCGTACACGAGGCAGCGGCTAGAGTGGCACACGCCACGGACGGTCATCCCCTGGCACCTCTATGGCGAAAAACACCCTTTCCTTGCTGTGGGCCTGGTCGTTTTCCAACTTTATCTCACTTGGCGGGGTTATGTTACCACCGCCGACGAAAAATGAATTAGAATGGCCCCTGCGCTCTTTCTGTGTACAGGACTGAATTGCTAGAAGTAGCTATTGCCAACCTGTCGCCCTCTAGGAAGGGGTTAGACTCCCGTGCCCATCAATCCCATCCAGAACTGTAATAAACATTCATAGGGTTGCACCCTAAAGTGCAAGGCTGGATGGAAAGAAAGGCTTTTCGCGCGTACGCCTAAAAACTTTGGCATATGGCTTAATTCGTGCACCTCCATGGACGGCTGGTCGGGCCGTCCAGCAACTCCCATCAGCAATGGCCAAGCAGACAGAATCGGGAGGCTCCACGGGCCTACACGCACAGCCTTCTCCTTTGGCATCAAGAAAAACTACATCGCCCAGAGTTCCCCAGGAGCGTGCGCGGTGACGTCACGCCCGCTCCCTTTAGCGCCGCGTTCCCGGATATTGCCTCCTTTTCCCTTCTCGGAAGGTAAGAATGGCGAGCGGGTCTCATGTCCGCCCTGGCGCCCCTTGTGCGGATCCGTCGGCATCCGCCCCGGAGAGGCTCCGGGCGGCAGGCGGGCGGCGCCCAGCTGCTCGGGCGGCGTCTGGCGGACGGCCTGGGGCCGCCTTTGGAGCGGGACCCGGCCTTGCCTGTGGTGCGGGCCGCCCCGAGCCCTTCAGGCCGCCGCAGCGGCGGGCTTCGCCTGGGAGGCCGGTTGGCTCCAGGGGTTGCCGGACTGCGCCGAGCAGTCGCGCCGCCGGCCCAGCACGTGCGCGGGTGTCTCTCTGGGCGGGGGGAGCCCGGCCGGCCGGCTGCTTTTCGGCGGGGCTGGGCGGGGGGGCGCCGCGGGCCGCAGCGCTGCGCGCTTGCATCCTTCCCCAGCCCTGGGGGACGGGGCTGTTGAATCGCCGAGATCGCCACCTACGCCGGATAAACGGCGTGCATCTTTTTGCAGCCGGAGCCCTCCCGGAGCCCTTGGATTAAGACACCCGGCATTCGGGAGACCAACCCAGCGTGCTGGGAAAAGCCCGGTGGCAGAAGGCTGCTTTAGGAAGCAGGGTTTGCAAAGCGGGGGAGCGGGTTTTTGTTCTCCATCCCCGATTCCGCCTGCCTCCTGATTCTGCCAGGTTTGATGCATTCTTTGTTGGCTGGTGCTGTGCATTGACACTGAAAGAGCAACATGGAAACAGCGCGAGTCAGAAGGGGTCTCCCGGGCCATCTAGTCTGACCTCCGGCACCAGCCGGCCCCGCTGGTGAAATTGAGTGGTTCTGAGTTCAAGGTGCAGGCCATGTGGAAGATGGGGCCCTCTGTGTTTGAAGCATGGTTGTGAGGATAGGGTGGCAGCAAGAGTATGGTTGTCTACACTGGGTCTTATTTTTAAAAGCCTGCTTCAACTCCGATTGATGCCAATTTTCCTTCCATCAAGGAGCCAGGGGCTTTCTTAGAGCTGGTGTTTTGATTTCTATCCATTAATATCCTGTTTGTCCTTGGGTGAAATTCTAAGAGTTGTTCAGAAAGTTGGGGCTCAATTACTTGGGACAAAGTTATCTTGAAAATTTGTAGGTCTTATTTTGAGTAATACATATTGGATGTAGATGGTGGTTCTCTTTTTAGCATTTAACTGATGTTATCCTACTTTATTTTTCCTTTCTTATTTTTTAGTTTATCCTGTCTAATTTTAGAAGTTTTAATAAGTGTGGTTTTATTATTGTACTTTCGGAATTTTATACTATGTAAGCCGGCCTGAGCGCTTGTGCGGAAGGACAGGATACAAATGCTTGTAGTAAATAAAATAAATAGATAAATTTTCAAAGGCCCTTGGTTGTCCTCTTCCTTTTCCACATTAAATGGATGTCATTAATTTTAATTTCTCAATTTGTTAGATGGCGGGCGAGAAGAAAACCAAGCGGGTCCGGAAGACCCACACCAGCCGCAACCCGGTGCTGGCCCATGGCATTGGGAAATATTCCCGGTCAGCTATGTATGCCCGGAAGGCCATGTACAAGCGCAAGTACAAAGCTCCGGAAACCAAGGTAAAGGGAAGGGCAAAGCACTCTGCGGTCCTCTTAAAGGCAGTTGCACGAGGGGCATGCGATACATTTGCTGTAAAAACCATTCCAGACTTCATGGATCCCTTGGTCTGATCTTGTAGAGCATCTTATGCATTGTATGGTAAATTAAGTTTGCAAAGATTTCTCAAGTGTGCGTTCTTCTTGTCTGCAGATAGAAAAGAAAAAGCGAGAAAAAGAGCCGGCCACTACCACAAAGCCTGTTGGGGGCGATAAGAATGGAGGCACCCGAGTGGTCAAACTTCGCAAAATGGTAAGAATTCTTATCCCAAAATAAAGGTGATGGGTGCAGTTAAACTCCTGGATTTGATCCTACCCAGGCCTGGCTGAGGCTCCACCTTCTCTGTAGATCTTCCAGCTTATGGGTGTCTTTTTTGTCTTTTCCCATTAACTGGCTTTCTGTTAAATGCGGAAAAAGGGTTTTAGTGCCGCATTCTGTAAGATTAAATCAAGCTAGAGACAGTCTGTTGCATTTTATATTGTTAATATTAATTGAGCTTAAGAGATAGAAATTGGGTTCTTAAACACCCAGTTGCTTGGGGATGAATGCAGTTTGCTATTGTGTCAGTGGCAAAAATAAGTTTCTGGAATCATGTTAGCGAATAAAAACCACTGGACTGGTGTTTTCCCTCTGCCGTCGCCATTTCCACAGCTAGCTTGGTGGCTTCCTGTCAAGATGGACCGATTTCCAGAACAGCCTGTGTATAGGAAGGAGGGAAATGTGTTAGGAATGCATTTGTTGGTGCGTGGCTAATTAGCATCCATGTGTCTAGATCCGCGCTCTGCAAAATGTGTGTAGAAACGAGTGGCAGGGTGCACGAGTCATCTTTGTAAGCAGACCTCCCAAAAGTTGTTGGCTTGTTGGGGGCTGTGAGTGGATTTCTGTGCTTGGGAGGGAGGTGAGGAGCCTGCCGTTCCCTCCCTCTGCCTTTCGTTTGCTTTCCATGCTGGGAATGGGGCGCGATGGAGCAGGGTCCCTCTTCTGCAAGCTGCGTACTCCATGGAATTCCTGGGCACCCCTAAGTACACACATACAAGACGTACTGGACTGCTGTCACTCCATGGCAGGAGGCACTTAAAATGTGTACATTATTTGCCTTTTTGATCTTGTATAATTGAGAAGCGTTTTTGCAGCAAAGCATGCATTCATTGATCAGTTATCTTCGTGGCGAATGTGTCCACGCCACATAGTGTCCGTGCCCCTCTCCTGCGATGTCTCTCTCTCTTAAGGTAGGCTCAAAAGCATTGAATCTGAGACACGTGCTAAACACTATTATTATGAATCCCCATTGAGAATTGAAGTTCATTTTTTCCCATTTCTATTCCAGATAGAATTAAGCCCATTTTGTTCAAGTGTCTGTGATTGTTCTGTGTGTGAGATTTTCATATTCTGATACATTTTGAGAAGGATGGATAAGTTTTCCATCCAACCTTTTCCTCTACCTTATAAGAAACAATTTGCATTGTGATCTTCTGCCCAGCTAGCAAACTGCTTCAGAACATTATATTTCAGAATTATGAATCCAGGACTTAGGAGGGTGGGTCATTAAACTTAAAAGCACAGCTCTCAAAATATGGTTTGATGAGCCAGATAGGTGAGCCTTTTCCACTTCTGATATTGAAACTGGTGAAAGTCAGTTCTGAGCAACATGCTTTTCTCCCTTTAGCCTAGATATTACCCGACAGAAGACGTTCCCCGCAAACTCCTGAGCCACGGCAAAAAGAACTTTGCCCTGCACAAGAAGAAGCTGCGGAGCTCGATCACCCCAGGGACAATTTTGATCCTCCTTACAGGCCGCCACCGAGGGAAGGTAAGGACGGCCCTGCCGCCCTCTTTTTGGGGTGAGGCACAGTTTGCTGGCTTGCATTCCCTTCGCCATGGTTCTGCTCTTGCCAACCTCCTCTGTCTTGCGTTTCCAGCGCGTGGTCTTCCTGAAGCAGCTCGGCAGTGGTCTGTTGCTCGTCACAGGTGAGCTGCTCCTACAAACGTTGGCGGCACCGGGGTGGCCAGTGGGGCTGGGCAGTGGATGGTTCTCAAGGGAGTGGGAGGCTGCGGGTGGCTGTGGTGGTGCGTGTGCCCCTGCTTGAGACTCAGCAAGTAACACCCACAACACATGACATCTCTGAAATGATTCTCCAGCATCAAACCGACAGGCACCAGGGCAGCAATAAAACAGGTATCCCCAGTGGTTGTTTCTTTATCTTCATTTTGAAAGCCACTGTGGAAGTCTTGTGTCTGAAGGGTAGGGTGCTGTGTACTCGTAATACGTAAAAATAAAGTTTGCGGTCATCCTCTGTGCAGAGTATTCTGGATATTTCTCAACCTGGCTTGCTTTTTCTTGGGAGCCCAAGATCACTAAATGGGCACGTGTGCTTTCTCCGCAATGGTTGCAACTGGAGGTGCAGCTCGGGGTGCTGCTGGCAAGGCTGTGAAGGTGGCAGCCAGCCAGCGGCACGGGAAAGGCCTTCTCGCTGCTGGATGGCACTGTGCAGCTCTTCTTGTGCCTCTTCCTCAGGGCCCCTGGTCATCAACCGTGTGCCGCTGCGCAGGGCTCACCAGAAATTCGTCATTGCCACGTCAACCAAGGTTGACATCTCCAGTGTGAAGCTCCCAAAGCACCTCAGTGATCTTTACTTCAAGAAGAAGAGGCTGCGTAAACCCAAACACCAAGAGGGTGAAATCTTTGACACTGAGAAAGAGGTATGTGTGTGTATACAGCTGGCTGGAGGATGCTAGGAGTTTTAGTTAGCACATCTGGAGGGCATCTGGTTGGGGAAGATTGCTCTTAAGGCAGCTGGGGAGGGCGAAGTGCTAGGTTACCCTAAGCCTCTTGGGACACAAATCTTATGTCTCCTATAAGAAAGCATAATAGCCTGAAAATTCTGCACAAACCGCAAGCTAACCCTGGTTGAGGTTTGGTACATTTCAAAATGCCACTCTTGGCCTAGCGCAGGCAAGAGGAGTGGGAGAACCCTGGGCTTGTGGGGATGCTGATGCGGTTGGCCCTCCGCTCTCCCCTGAAGGAAAGGCTGCTCGTGGGTAGCTGGTGACACGTGTGCTCTCTTGCTTTCTCAGAAATACGAGATCACGGAGCGACGCAAGGCAGACCAGAAGGCTGTGGACTCTCAGCTGCTGCCTCTCATCAAGAAGGTGCCTCAGCTTCGGGGCTACCTGCGTTCCACATTTTCACTTTCTAATGGAGTTTATCCTCACAAGTTGGTTTTCTGAATAGCGTAGAATCACCGCAGTAAACAGATGGAAAACATGTCCAAAGACTCTGCTAGTTCCATTCTTTTCTTGAGCGTATTCTGGCTTATCTAGAAGTGAGCAGGTACCCACCATAGTTGTCCGACTGAGAAAATGTGCTTTTGGGGAATGGGGTGGTGACTTTTCTTTCTGACTGTTCCTTCGCAGGGATTTTCCTTCCTGGTAGACCTCGTCTGGGAACCCGCTGTCACCTTAGTGACGACGGTTCCTCACCCTCCTGCCTTTTCCTCCGAGTTTGCATCAAGCAGGCATAGACGGAATTCCCCTAGGCTCATCCCAAATGTGGGGAAATGGTAGTAGCGCCTCCCACTCTTTGGCTTGTGTGAGCTGTCGACCCGTGCTTCCATTCCAACTGTCCCACCCTCTGGGCGAGCAGTTTTATTTAGACCCTGATCCAGGTTTGTGTGATCTTGGAGAAGGGCTTAAACATCACTTGGACACAGTCCATTTTGTATTAGGGTCGTTTAGATGCTGCATATCCTTTTCTGTGCTTTTCGGTTTGGTCCTAAAGCTTAAACGTGGCCAAAGTGGGGGTAGTTCTCTAGCAAAAGTTAGACTTGTCCCACTTTGACAGGGTGTCTGTGCTGGTTTGCATGTTTTCTTGACCAGAGATGACATCCTGTGCCGCAGGATGTTCTGCATCACAGATCCCATTATCCCTGGCCATTGGCCATGCTGTTGTCATCTGGAGGACACAGGAGCATGTCCTGGTCTAGAGAAGTGGCTGGAGATGGAAGCTGCAAAGTTGTTACTCTCTCAGCATGGGGAGCGTTGCACCCTGAGTTGTAAATAGAGTTGAGCCTGGCTTCCTCGTCACTCGGCAGAGCAGTCAGAACGCGTTTGGGGTCCCTGGATGGTTGCATCGAGCAAGTCACTAGAACTCCTCAGATCCAGTCTTAGTAGCTCTCTCTCAGGAACACGTCCAGAGGGCAAAAACTAGCCTGCATTAAGAGGCTGCAGCGCTTGTTCTGAATCACACGAGAGCATTGGCCAGGAATGTGTGCACTTGCAGGTCCTCAAATGGGCATCTGAAGAAATGTGAAACGCAGCAGCACATGGCTTTGGGCCCTCCAGATGCTGGGAGCTATCACTCCCATAAGCCCTGAGCTTCGGCCAAAGTAACTGGGACTGATGGGATCTGGAGTGCAGAACATCTGGCAGGCTCAGAGGGCCACCCTGATGGGATTGTTCCACGATTCTCTCCTCTTCCTTGGGTATTTTCCATGAGGCTTCCGTGTTGATGTTTTCCTCCATTCTTGTGGCAACGAGGAGCTGACCGTTACAGGAATAGGGGCACGCCTGGATTCCCCGTAGGGTGGAATACATTGAGCTGCCACATCATGTAAGTGCACAGGGTGGTCCCTTCCATAATGTGTCCATTCAGCAGGAGTGAAGATGGCCTCCAAACAGGGCAAGCGTCTTCTCTTCTCAGGCCCCTTAACCGTTATGCTGCACTGAAGCCGCTGGCACGGCCGAGTTCCACACTGCCTTCCAGCTCACTGGAACAGGTAGTTTGCACCATCCCAGTTTTGTGGCAGCCCCTGTGCTCGGCAAGTGTTTTTCAGTAGCGGCTGTGGTGCTGCGGCAGCGTTTCCGTACCCTCCAGGTTTGCCCCATTCTGTCTCACAGTTCACCTGCGCAGTTTTTCTGTCCATAGTCCACCCCTTCGAGATGAGCATTTGGTGCTCCCTCCTTGCCAATGCAAAGCTGCTAAATAAGGAGCCTCTTTTGCAAATAGGTACAGATTTCTGTCATGCTACAGCCCAAAAGGATGGATTTGTGGGGGAAATTATTCCGTCTAGCTGAAAATACATTCTTCCCTGCCTTGCTGGACAGTCACTATATTTGACATCAGTCCAAACATGTTACTGTTGAGTCACTGTGAAGATTCCGGGACCATCTTCTGTTGATAACAAACAATGCGAAACAGGCTGGTACTGCTGTCTTGGAGCCCTGTTGGTCTTGTTATTGTTTGCCAACATGTGAGGAACTTGGGCCCTTTGTTCGGAGGCTTCTTTGTCATCAGCAGACATGGTGATGGTGACATCTTTTAATTGCAAGATCTTTAATTACTACATTCGCATGACATTAGTTATCTTAGCCTAGAATGTTTATATTGCTGGAAAAAATTAGGGCAAACGTGATGACTCTGGAATCTTTATTTACCGTTTGTATATTTGGGTAAACCAATACACATTAGGGGATACAAATCAAGATATGTTGGTTTACTTATGTATAGGAATAGGATAAATAAAGGTGCCAAAATCATCATCCATAGATTTGGTAAGAGTGAGGATTCCTCTTTTCTATAGCAGTCCTTGGGTGGGTGGGGGAAATAATGCAGCATTTATAACTCTGAATCTGAAACCAGTTGTATGTTTTTTTTAGAAAAGATCTCTAGGGCTTTAATTGGTAGCTGTTGGTGGATTTTAATCATTGACTGGCTGTCTTAATTGGCAATGTAGTACATGCCCCCCACAACTCTTCATGGGCAGTGGGGTGCCCTACATCTAGTTTTAAAGGATTCATGAAACATAGAGCTGCCTGCTCACCCACAGAGACGCTTTCCGTGCAAAAAAGCCTCGGGTTCAGTCCCTGACATTTGCGATGCCAAGTGGCAGGAACGGCCCCTTCCTGAGCTTGCATGAGGTAGGCATACCGGGGCAGCTGGTATTTATTTTTATATTTATGCTCCACTCGGATTCCTGCAAGGAATCCAAGGCAGCTTTCATGATCCTCCTCCTCTCCCATCTCGACAAGAACCTTGTGGGGACAGTGGGGCTGAGACTGGCCGGAAGTCACTCAGCTTCCTGGCCGAATGAAGACCGGAACTTGGATGTTTAAGAGCCCCAGTCCAACGATGACCATTATGCTGGTGCAAGGCGGCATCCCGGGTCCCGCGTACCCCAGAGCCGCTCCAGTGAGTGGGGAATTCTAAGAGTGGCCAATCAACTCTGCACCTAGACGGTTAACGCCAGCATCCAGCTGTCAAAACCTGTGCAGCAACTTTTCCTCCTGCAGGAATGTCAGTGCTCAGGAACACTTTTTCAAGGCAGGAAGTGGCCCGTGTAAGTTGCAAAGGAGTGTCTGTGCCAAACGTGGTGTGTGTTAATTGTATGATGTGGCAGGTGTGTCACATGAAAGGCTGGTGACGCTTTCTGAATGCTTGGTGTTGTAGTCTGAGGAATCCGGGCCCGGGCTACCTTCCAGATACCTGCAGCCTGTCTGGAGTGCACCAGGTTTGGGAAGGACATCTTTGTAAATGATTAATGCTACTGGATGGCGGTTTTTAACCTTTGGGTTTCTGTTTTGCAGCCCACATTATGCCCCCACCCCAAAATCCCAGGGACAGGGGTTACAAAATGATTCATATAAAACATGATAGGTCAATAAAATATTCCCCTCCTCAGAAAAAGCAACCCATACAAGAAACGAGGCATGGGGGGGAAACATACCTTAAGGCATCTCCATCTAGGCTATCATGAGCTTTGGCAAGATGAAAACAGAAGCCAGAAAATACGGAAGCTGTAAAAAAAAGCCCCCCAAACTCCGGTACACAGACGGGAAAGGGCTGATTTGAAGAACGAGTGCTGTAAAGTTCTTGCTACCGTTGTCCATCCAGAAGAGCTGTGGATCTCTAAGGTTGCAAGACGTTTTGACAGAATTCAAGACACACAATTCACTCGCCAGTGAACTTCATGGCCCAAGTGGGGATGAGACCCTGGGTTTCCCAAGCCTGGTCCAGCACTAACCACTACATGCTGTGCTGACCTCGCATGGCAAAAGCGCCGTCCTCTGGCGCTCGGCCCACTTCCGCCAGCCATGGCCGATGATCCAGTTTTGCCCACTTGTGGCAGGTTTAAGTTGTCTGAAGTTTTGTCTTTCTCCATCGACACTTGTGTTGGTGACAAGGCACTGGTTGGACTTCCCTAAGCCGGTGTTTCCCAAGAATCCGAGTCCACCTTTTTGATGGCTACATCACCCTTTGTTTGACACGCCTTTGGCAAGAAGGCAATATCCTGTAAGATGTAATCAAACCTGATGAGGACTACTAATTCTTCTGCAGGGCGGGGCCTTGATTGTGACTGGGCCCAGTTCTGTTTAATCAGAAAATATTACTGATGACAATGCAATTTCAAGCATGTATTTAGGATCCAAACCCTCTGCGTGTCTGTTTCGGGTAGATTTCTGGGACAAAGGTCTCCTTGTGGCATTTTAGGGGATGTAACCAGGCAATAATGAAAAGAGGGCTTGAAGCAAAGTGCTACCCAACATCTTTATTTGGCTTTATGTTCTGAGCTCAGTCCTTTCTACTGCCTTGTTGCCCGGTTCTTGGGCAGTGTTTTTTCTTTCAGGTTCACTGTTTGCCTTCTGGGAAATGTCTTGTGACCAGGCCCCCACCCCCCCATGGCTGTTCTTTTATGGATGGACAAGTTCACCCTAGAGCAGCCATTTTGTGAGAGTGACCATTACACTCTCAATTTCAAATGTGCCCACTAATCCAAAAGTGGTAGAGACCCATCAGTTGTAACATCTAAGGTGCAAGCCCATGCACGATTAGGCAGAAAAAAGGCCTGCAGCTCCCCACATGTTCAGCCAGTGCAAGATTATACAAATATTAAAACAAATTATCAGTACAGTTATTAAATATTTGATATGTCTAAAGATGTTATCAAGCTTTGTAAAACCAAATTGAAATGAAAGAGCTGTTTTAAAGAAAGCTAAGGTAGCCATGCAGTTTCATGAGAAAAAGAAGAAAAATCCATAAATCATTTCCTTTTAAGAAATAAGTGGTAATAAATAACTCCTTCACTGTCACTTTTATCTCTGTGCCCTTCACTGGGTCACGAATACCCTTTTTATATCTTTTCTGTTCAATAATTCAATATATATTTTATATCTTTTCTGTTCAATCTTGTTCCTCACGTTGCAAACCAGATTTGGTGGGGTCCCTCGCTGAAACCTCCCTCACATAATCAGTCTCCTGACGGGAAGGGAAGGGAAGGGACTCCGTTGTTGGAGTCCCTTGTTACCTTATCCTATTGGATTTTCAATTATTGGCAGCAACATCTGGACCAACAGGTAAAATTAAAATGCCACTGAAGTGAAGGCCAAAACGAGAGCCCGGCCAAGGAAAATATCCTGTCTGACAGTCTGAATGTCAACAAAAGAGGACAGAGAAGGACACTGCTCTGCCTAAGGACAGAAATGGTGAAACCCACACTGCATTTAGCTGCAGTTGCTTTGGTCTTTGTGAGCTTTGTCCAGCAGAAAGCATTGCTCATCTCTGAATATGCAGTGGGCACCCCGTGCAAAGGGCTGCAGCTCCCTTCACACATCCTGCTCAGCCCCAGCTGGTGGTGGTGATGGACTAGTACCCAAGCCAAGAGCTGAGCTTCACAAGATGATGCCTTCTTCTGATAAGGCCACAAGGTGCCCAACATAAAATCTGTACAATGGGAAACAGCCTCTTAGTGCAACCTTAAAAATTTACAAGCAAGACCAACCTTGGTGGGTTCAGGGCACAGCTCTCTGGATCCTGCTGGCCCGCACAGGATATTTTTCCCGTCTAAGCATGTCTTGGATTGCACGCTAACTCAGGACTGGAAAAAGGTTCACTCAGCAAAACCATATTAAGGAGGGGTGGTGGAGCAGAAGTGGAGGAGGGTAACGGAGAAGACCTCAAGGGGTCTGGCGATGGGGAACTGACTCCGAGAAATGGGGGACCAATGGAGGGAGCACAAGAGCCCCCTACTGGAATTGCAGTCTTGAAGGTGACCACCAAGTGAGGGCTTGGAATTGAGGTGGCCAAGCCCAAAACAACCCTAATTTTGTGGGGAGTGGAGGTGGGACGTTACGTACTTCCCACTCTAAGCCCCTTGAAGGCAGGGACCTATTTTTTTCTATTTATTTGCCTTGAAACCATTCAGCTGTCACGTGCATTGATAGTGTCATCTATATTTCTTTACCATCACCATCATTGCAGCAAAAACTATACTGGGAAAGGCGGGGGCAGAATCATTTGTGGGGAGCAGAAATATCGCACTTTATTTAAAGGTCCTACCTGGGTTTGTCTGTCTTTGTTCAGAGGGGGTAATTCATTCAAGGTGCAAGGAGCTATTTTTTGCTTATGAAATTCTATATAAGGCATCAGGCACTCAGGTAACATTGTTTTTTATGTTTACTTCTGTATTTAAAATATGGCTTGTAGTAGTAAAAACAACAAATGGCTGTCATGGAAGACAGCATCCAGGCAATACAGAATGCCAGCCCATCATAAAAACAGACTGGATATCATTTCTTCTAAAATGTCTGGGCAAATAGGAAATCATATTTTATTATAATATGATAATAAATATATGCTATATATTATAACAGCATAAAAGATATAAAAGGGTATCAAACACCCGCACTCTTTAACAACACTGATGCTGTTATATTATTTTTTGAAATGTGGTGTGAGGTAGAGTTTTGTCCTGAGGGGCCATCCCTCCCCAAACTGGCGCGGTCCAGATGTTTTGGTTAGGCCAGCCTAGCCAAGCAGCGGCGAAGATGGGAGTTGTAGTCTGAAACATCTGGAGGGCGCCTTTTTGGGGAGGGCGCTTGTGGGGCGGCGGGCAGCGCTCGGCGGAGCAAGCAACGCGGGCGTTTTTTCCTTTAATGCACCACGCACAGTAAGGGGTCCCGTTACTGCTCACGGTCACAGGGGCGGTGATGCTGAGCGAGTGCGAGGGGAGAGAAGGAAGGCTATATACCGATTCTGAGGGGAGCGGACGAACCTTCCCGGCGCCGGCGCCCGTCACCCCGCTAGCTGGGGACGATGGGAGTTGTAGTCAACGGCCCGGGCGAGGCGGCTGCGCGGCCGGCCAGGCTGAGCCTGAGCGGGGGAGGACGGGCGCTCCAGGCGAGGCGGGGCCGCCGGCTCGAAGTGGGCGGGCTCTCCGGTGGCCCTCCGCCAATCGGCGCCCCAGCTGCCCTTTCCCCGCCCCCCGCCCCTTCCCCGCCCCCTGCCCGCGAGCCTCTGTCAGTCAGTCGCCAGCCCGGCGCGCGAGCTTCGCCGGCTCTGCTGCCAGAGAAAGAGGCGCGAGCGGAGCAGCGAAGGCGGGCAGGGGCGTCCTCTCCCTCCCGCCCGTTCTGGCGCGCGGGCGCGCGCGGTGCATGCCGGGCCCGCCTCTCCGCTTCGCCCCCCGCCTTCCTCCTGCCGCCGCCGCCGCCGCTCCAACATGGCGTCGCGCTGTCACCTGTGTGTGTGAGGGGAGGGGAGCGCCTCCCTCGCGGCCCCCGTTTCCCTCCCTCGCTCGGCGCTGCCCCGCCCCGCCATGGTGGGGGGCTGAGGGAACCGCCGCCGCCCGGCGCCCTGCGTCTCTCCCTCTGCCCCAGCGGCAGCGGCAGCATCCCGGCCCCTTCCCTCCCCTCCCCTCCCCTCCCGTCCCCTCCCCTCGGCAGGTGCTGTCAACGCCGCCGCCGCCGCCGCCCTCCTCCTCGAAGCCAAGCCCGCCTCGTCCTCCCCGATGGGGTCTCCGGCAGGCGTTCCGGGCTCGGCCGCGGCGGCGGACTCGGCGCAGTGGCTGTCGGTGAAGGAGGAGACCATCTTCCTGCACGACGGACTGATTCGGGTCACGGACCTGGCCGAGCTGCCCAGCGAGATCATCGGCGTGGCCGAGCCCGGAGACACCGAGCTGGAGGTGAGGAGGAGGAAGGAGGGAGAGATGAGGGGCGCAACCGGCCTTCCTGAACGTGCTCCCCCATCAGTATCAACACTGTGTGTTAGTCCTTGACAATAACGGTGGGTGGGCGGGCGGGCGGACGGGGGAGGGAGGAAGGGAGGGATATTTCGCCATCATCCTCATCCTCACCTTTTGCTAGCGAAGGATTTAACGCGGCCGGGTGGGGTGGGGGGGAAGCTAGACAGCATCCTCATCCCTGCAAATGCAGCCTTGAGCCATAAGACTGGGAGCGGATGGGGGATTTGGCCTTCACCATGATCAACAATAACAACATCATCATCATTTTGCTCTCCTATACCCCGCTGCTCCGCGAATAGCCTTTAATAATAGGACATGTGGTGAGGAAGGGGAGGGGAGGAGAGGGGAGATCTGGCTTTCCTCATCAACATCCAAACCTCCGAGTGAGTCTTTAACAATAAAGCCAAGGTGGAAAGGGTGCAGGGGAGAAAAGATGCTGAATGAAGGGAGAAGGAAGAGGTCAAAATAAGGAAGTCCATTTTGACTTCTGTTTATTTTAACCCATCCCTCTTCCTCGATATTGATGATCGTGTTTTTGATAAGGTCCAACTCCAAGGAGGATTTTGGAATGTTTTACTCTCCTCCCATCCCCCAGCCCATGGTACCCTGTGCCAAGGGATTGGAATGGGAGAGGAGAAAATGTGGGATGGCAGAACCCTGCATGGTAGGGTTAGAGGATGTGGGGTGTCAAATTTAGAGAGGGGAGAAAATAAAAAGGGGGCATTAAGTTTTAGGTGTTGGAAAAGAGTTGTTAACATTGGAGGGGCAGTGTCTGTAAATGAGGTGTCAAGAGTTTAAGAGAAGATATCTGAGAGACACTTGAAAGAGTGGATGAAGGTGAAATTCTATTATATGCAAGGAACTGGGGGTGGAAAAATAAAAGGGGGTGGTAAGTCAAAAAGGGGGATTTGGAGGAACAAAAATGGGGGTTGGAGGTGCTAATGAACAAATAATGAAGGGAAAGTTTACAAAGGTTAAGGGAGGGTAAACATGAGGAAGATACAGAACAAGAAGGGCAATAGTTACCTGGTAGTGAGCAGCCTGGCGAGGTTGCATTGGGCTGTGGCGTGCCTCAGGTAAAAGATTTGAGGAGCAAAAACTGAGGAAGGTGTGTGTGTGTGTGTGTGGGGCAATTGGAAGACGTAGGACAGTGGCAGTCAAACATTATTTATTTCATGCTGTGATTATTAGGCCTAAGGGAATTGTGTTACTAGATAAGAGTGTGGCGAACTGTATAGTGTCAGGCTGAGAATCAGTGTAGGGTGATGATGTTTTGGGGGTGAGAGTGACTGAGAAACACCTGATTTTCTCCAAGAATACCTCCGCCAGCAGAATCATAACAAGGTCTGAGGGAGACTAGTAGATGTTAGGAGAAATTAAAGGCTCAAGGCATGTACATATACACACCCTGGCAGGTCTGCCAATACCCAAATTTCTTGAAATGATGGCGCAAAGGTGATTCAGCACCAGGGAAGGGGGTGCAGGATATAGGATGGAGCTTCCTTTTTGTTGAACCAGGAAAGATAAAATGCTCCCTGCCTTCCTTTTTCAGAGAAGACTCCTCTGAAAATTGATCTTACAGTGGTCTTAATGATTACTGTTGCTTTGTTGTTTAGTGACTGTATGAGTTGGATTTTACCTTGACATCTGAGGTGTGGTTAGGTGTTGGGACCTATGCTGTGGTCTTATCACGCTCGCCGAATAGCCAAGGGGAACCGCTTGGCTCTCTTCTGCCTCAGCCTCCCCGTCTTCTCTTCCAGAGGTGGGCAGTTGAGCTATAGATGGAGCACTGTACAGAGCCGTACGGGCCTGTGTGTTGGTTGATAGGTGCTCTTTGCGGGAGCTGCCGTCAGTCATTTCTGCTGGCATCTCTTCCACAGGCTGCATCGCTTCCTCACGCACCTCCCTCTGTCACTCCGCCCTCTCCCCCGGCAGTGTGGCTCTCAGTGACACAGGTTCTTTGTCAGAAGCTGGGTGGCATGAACCGAACGGAGATGGTTCAGCAAGGGCTGCTTGGAGAAAGGCTGTCTTTTATTGTCAGGAAGAAGGTGAAAGCGAGGTTAATTCCCTGCTTGTGTCCTTCAGTTGAATATGGGGGAAAACTAATATTGCCAGACATGTTTGCTTCTTACTTTTGGAGATGGTTTAAGCATTGCAGCCCAGTTGCTATTACAATGAATTCTACCAGCGACGCAAGTCTGGCTTTTGTGACCAACAACTGCTGTTTCTGGAGGAGTGAAAAATGCAGTGATTCATGTGTCTTATGGTCCGGAGTTCATTTTTTTGATATTAATATAGTTTGCTTATGGAATGCAGCTGAACCCATTAATTTGGTGATCTTTAATGGCACAAATACTCACATGCTTGGTGCTTGTGATCAGGGCATATATGTGACATTCTGTATTCCATTGCTGAAAGGGCAATTTGTTAGTTCTCCTGCTCTAAGTGTCCCTAAAATTGATGCTGAACTTGCCACAGGATTGAAATGGATAGGTAGGATTTCCTGGATTAATTAAATAAGGACTGCAATTGCCAGACATGTTACTTTTATAATATTTAACCTATGTTAATAATTAGACATGAATTTGTTGAATGCTAACATTAAGGCCTGTCACATCTCTCTTCCATGTAAAATAATAGGAATAATCACTTGAATGTATGTATAGCTGGTTTATGTGGGCACAGATTATCTACCTAAACTTCCTTGTCTGGACAAAAATAGACCGTCACAAACCTGGGGCCTGTTGTCATCATGGTTGTGCTACCTAAAGTGCAGGAATTACCAATTTAAATTCGTGGTTACTTTGTCACAGTTTTTTCACAGTTGTGAGATCTTTGTTGCATATACAGATCTCTCCAGGCCGCAAGGCCTGCCCTATTCACATCAGGATGTATGGTGATAAGGCCACATTCTTTTCTATGTGTAGATCTGGTCCCTCTGTTGAGATTAATTGGCCTACTTAGATGCACAAAAGTTTTTATATGCACCAGAATATGCAAGGCTTCCAGATTAGGATGCACAATTGTTTGCCATATATGCTATATCCTGGCACTGAAGAAGCCATTTTGTTCCAAAGCATGAATTTATACTTTTTAATACATACTGTATCTGCATATTCTGCTATCAAATGCATATATCATCACTGAGAAAGTTACTAATTTAGCAGGCAAGAAGCCATGCAGCTTTCAAAACATGAAGTTTTCTTAAAGTAACCTCCGTCGGACTCTTGGTCTACTCCTTCACTGCACATTGTATGTAGTTTTCTGTGGAGTCACGTGTGTGATTGCCCCAACACATCATTGGCATGTCCTGTGTCAAGAACCGGGAAATGTTGGACAGGTCATGATTAATGAGATGCACCTGATAGGTGTGTCCCAGTAACTTTGGCAGTTGAGAAATTCATTTAATCTAAGGCAGAGGTGGAAGAGGGTGGCGCTAGTGTTGCTAATTCAGGCATTTAACTCCAACGACAAAAATGGTGTCTGTTGCAGATAAACCTTCTAAGCATTATCAGTGTATAGATGGAAGGCACCATCTCGGTGTCCTGCTCAGGTGATATGAAGAGCCCTGGTGATCTCCTGCTGCATCTGTTCTTGCAACTATGAATTCCCACACAGAAAACCAACCATGGGACTTTTTTATTGGAGTGGGTGGGGAGGGACATGAAACAAGAATGGTATGTATCCTTTGGGAAGCATAGAATAAATGAAAAAATTAGGCCCTTCCAGATACCAAAACTAGCACTTGCATTAGTTAACAGCAGAAGTTCTCATGCTTAGCAACAAACAAAATTGAATCTTCAGTTGGCCTTATCATAGGCAGCACTCTTACGTTCCAGAAACTATTGTCCAGAAGCATTGTTGCAACTAAATGTGAGGCCTGAGCAAGGAATCGAGTGAGAACCTTGCACATGTGCGAGATGGCTGGCTCCCCAACTGGTTTATGCTTTGTTTTGCTTAGCTCAGCCCAGACCAGCTGTGGATATTTACCTGCAACTGTCTGGCAGTATGCTGAGGTCAGGCCCCTGCAAGCGTGGGAGTTCCTAAAATCAGCTTTTGGCCACTGACCAGGGCGGCAACGTTCTTTGGAAGCTCTTGTTGGTGATTCACCTTGGCAGTCAGGCAGGATGTATGAAGGGGAAGTGATTATTCTTTTGCTGGGTTCATTTGCATCCCTCTCTTTGGCTGGTAACACATCAACCCAGCAATTATTTCATTAGGATCTAATTGATGGGTGTCCAGTGACTAAGCAGCCCATGCAGAAGGATCCAGGAACATGGGCAAACGAGGGAGTGACAATTAAACTGGAAATAACGTTGAAGATGAAAATAATGTGATGATTTTTAAAAGTTGATGGGAGATTCAGGGTGATATCTCACTAAACAGAAGCTAATCTCTGGATTTAGAAGAACAACTCTAAAGATTTAGAAAATATTTTAAATAATCGTATATATAAAACATTCCTTTAAATTGTGTTTATTATTGCACTGTCTTGCCTGTCCTCTGGTTCAAGGTAGCCGACTGGCTTTCCTCCATTCATGCTTTATCCTCAAAACAGTCCTGCGATTTAGGATGGCATAAGAGATGGCCAGCTGCAGAGCTGGATTCAGCCTCAACCTTTCAGACCATCACAGGTTCAGCCCATCCACTACAGAATAGCTTTCCATTGTGTTGTTCACCTGCAATATAATCAGTATTGTGCTTTCAGGTATATGGATTACTGACCATGGAACTTATTCTGGGGACCCGGGGTGGGGGTGGGGGGCTTGGGGCTTGTCTTTCTTGAAGAGAAGCCCTGCCATGTCATGACAAAGCACTTTTAAAATGGAGGGGAGTTTCAAAACAGCTTTTGACATTCTGGAATGAAAAAGTAAATATCCCCCTCAGTGTGCATAAGCTCTTGGGCATGTCCAGCACAGCTCTTTGGATCCTCGCCTTTG